ATACCTAATCACTGTAGATGAGTATAATTTAAATTAATATTATTTACTTCAATAAAACTAATTATTACATGTATTCAACCCTTAAAAATTTAGAGAATCTTTACAAAAATAATTATTTTAATTTAAGACTAAACTTTATTATTTACTAATAATCATTTTAAAATAAGAATTAAATATATTTACTAAAATAAATGTATATTTTAAATAAAGTTATTTATTGATTGAATCTTAGAATTTTATACCTTTTTTGATAATTTAAATTTTACATTTTATAATAAGATATAAGATCAATTAAAAATAATATTCAAAAATATATATGATAATTAATATCATGCTTGTATTAATCTTCATTTTTTACATTAGATAATTATTTTTTCAATTTAATTATTTTATTTCTTAGAAATATATTTCTTTTTCAGATACTGAAAATTTTCATAGGCGATTGATATCAATTCAATTGCAAAACCTGAGGTTAGGGTAATCATTTAAAACCATCCTAGAATTTATTTCACATTTTAATTTATAAAGTCATTAAAATCATTAATATAAGCAAAAGAAGTCAAAGTAAATACAAATACCGTGCCTTCAACATAAAGTTAAGTTAATAAAGAAGTGGTTGAAAATATGAATCGACTGATGTAAATTAATTTTAATTGTAAAAGACTTGTTAATGATATCATTCCAATTTAATAGATGGAATTACTTTAAATAAAAATTAAGAAAAAAATCAGCATAATTTAACGAATTAGATTCATAAGCTAAAATCTCTCATTCAGAGAGTTTTTTTTTTAATTTAATTTTTTAAAAGAAATTCTATTAAAAATTCCTAAGAAAATATAAAAATAGCATAATAAAATCACCATAGAGAAAATGATCTAAGTCAAATCTCTACTTGTATAAGTTCCAATAGATTTTACATATAATAATATTTTAAATATTAAATCCCATCCATTAATTAATAAAATATTTTTTAAACCTTAAAGTGTTATATATTTACCCAATTTAATCATCTTTTTGCATATTTTATAAAGATATTTATTGAAGTAAAATAAAAATTATGGATTATACTAACAGCAATATAAACAAAAAAAATAGTTTTTATTGAAAAATTTTTTATAAACACAAGCTTTAAACAATTTTATAAAAATAATTATTAATAAGCATCCTATACTTTATAGAATTTAAGAAAAAAGATTGGTAAGTAAATCAGCATTTTGATTGTAGTATTCAAATTTTCCAATAGAAGATTTTATAGAATAAATAAATATTTTGTTTGCAAAATAATGAAAATGCAGCAAATTTAGAATTGGTTCTATGTTTATTAAATCGTACAAATCAAAATATATCATTAAATTTTATGGAAATTATAAATTAATGTACCTTAAGTATTGTTAATAAGAGAGAATATTAAGAATTAATAAAAATTAATTTGATTTTCCAAATAAAAGCTAAATGCCAGTAATAGCTCCTAAAAATTAAATAATGTAGCCATTAATATTAGTAATCAAATTAGAATTGTTAATTTATTATGAATTTAAATAGGATGGATATTAAAGTGTTAAGTTTAAATGATTATTCAAAGGAGCATTATTATCATCTTCTTCATTTGGGAATTCTATAGTTCTCCTCGTATATTTTTTACTTATTTGATTAAAATTGATAGCAAGTATTGGTCTAAAATCAAGTAATTAGAATATTTCAATTTCTATTAAGTATTTTAAATTTTAAAAGTCTTAACCAACCTCTAAAATAGGGATAAGATTTAAATAATAAGATTTTGAATTGAGATCTAAAATTTTAATTTGGATAATTTTTGAGATGGAAACTAAGTCTTTGGATGGAACAGTTTTTGAATACTCTACTCGAATATATTGTTTATTCATTTTCATATTCAAATAACTAACAGATAAGAGAGGGATTTTTCTATATGCACATTCACTGAGGGAATAGATATTAATTTAAGAACATATCCAATTAATTTGAATCTTACAATTATAACAACCGTCATAAGGATTAAGATTTTAATCATCACATTCTTCTTAATCTTAAACTAAACCATCTCCACAATAATGATTAATAGAAGAAATTAAGTTTTAATCTTCCTCTTAGTTTTGTTGTATGCAAATTCCTTAAAAACAATTAGAACATAATAATGGGCAAGAATATTTACATTGATAGCAACCATCAAATTCTATTTAATTACCATCATCACATTATTCATATTCTGAAATAATTATACCATCCCCACATATTGATTTACAATCTCCATTATTAAGTGTAAAACCTTCTTCACATTCCTAGCATTAATTTTTATAACAAACAATACAATGATTAATGCATATTTCATCAGAATCAATAATTTCAAGTAAACATTAAGGGAATATATTCTAATCATTTGCAATAAGATATCCAATTTCACATTTTTAACAAATTCCAAAATAGCAAATTGCACAATGAATATCACATTAAAATTAGCATTAAAAGCATCCATCATTTGGGATCTCATTACCATCATCACATTATTCAAGATCTTGGATAATTTGATTACCACAATATGGATTACACAAATTTTGAAATTCATTTAATTCCCATCCATCTAAACAATTTACACAAATACTATTTATATATTAATGGCAATTAAGCATTAATGGAATAGAGTATTAATCTTCTAATTAATAATAGAATTCAAAGTCTCTTATTGAAGCAGTTTAAATAGATATAAACAGATTTACTTCATAGTGATTCTTAATTATTAATTCAATAAGGGATGATTGTGTTGATTATGCTATAGTGTTTATATAGCCATTTATATTTATTGTTTAAGAAATTAGAGTACCTAATCGAAAAAATCTTAATATTATGCCTTTATGAGATGGTAACACTCCATTAAAATTAACCCCTTCTTAATTAAGAAAATGACATTAAGCACAAAAATTAATCGTTTAAAAAGTCCTTTCTATTTTAGTTGACCATCCTTATAGATTTTAAAATTAATATTGATTAAAAGCTAGTTTATAAAGTTTCCACTTATAACAATCTAAATAATCAAAATTATCGCAAACTTCACATTCTAGGGGACATCTTTCAATATAAAATTTTAAAGTTCTTATACCACATTAAATCTCAAATAATAATATTTAAACTACCAATTCTGTAATCACAATTTGTAGAAAAGCAGTTCTTCTTTTTTATGGTTATACAATAGTAATAACATCGTAATATTAATCAAAATGCGTAGGACCATTTACATCTACCAATGTTGCATTATTATACAATTTATTCAAAATCAATAAATCATCGATTTACATTTATAAACTTCCAGAACTCTAATTGTTAGTTCTAAATAATTTAAAAATTCTCATACAACCAAAATTCCATTTCTATTTTTATTTGATAGTGAGGGTTCAGATTTAGAAATATTCTCCTAATTGTAGGAGAGTTGCCTCCATACAATTTTACATTGTGCTCATTAAATATATAAGACTTACCCACCCATCCTAATAATATTTAATAAATAATTACCTTGAAGTCCATCAATTGAAGCATCAAACGAATAAATCAATTCTGAGAAACCAAATATCTACTAAACCAATATTACTATAAGAAAAATCATTTATTATTTAATTATTTTAAATAATTATTAATTTCAAAAAGTATGATGCATAAAACTTTAGAATTACAATCATTTAATTTTTATAGTTCATTATTATTTATGATTATTATTGTCATTCAAATTTATCCTAATCAAAAATAATGCTTAATAATTTTTTCTATCTTTATCTTATTTATCAATACAAAATCTCTTTTTGGATTCAGAAATATATTAAATTAAAATATTTAACAAATTTAACCAAATGATTAATGATTAAAAACTTAAGAATCTTAGTTAATTCAATTTCTAATCTGAATGGTTGTTTATTATCACTCAAAATATTTCTTAAACTCAGATTGATTCAATCATAATCCTTGTTTCTCTTTTGTAATAATTCAGCAGACTAATATATATGACTACCCTACTTCTTTTCACTTATGCAAAAATCTCTAGAAATCTGTTCTAGTCTTATTATCAGATTTATTTATATGATGGCTTTATCGTATTTTCCAATTCTATTATAGAAATTTATCCTTAATTTAAACTAGAACCATTTTATAAAAAATACAAAGATTGAAATTTCAATACTTTTTTAATAAATAACAATTAAATTCTTTATATTATGAATATATATATTTTAAATTTTTTGATTGTTCCTTTTGAAAATACTCTATTGAATTTATTGATATATTTTTTTATAACAATAATTCTTTTTAAAAAATATTATAGAAGAATTTATGTTTTGTTTAATTGATTCTCTAAAACAAAATTAATCTAAATATTAGTTGATAATGTGAGAAAGATTTTCCACAGATTCTATCGATAAAATTTTAAACCAAATTTTTTATTTCAAATTCATCTTCAAAGAATAAAAATGAAATAAATTAACTCAAAAATAATAAAAATGGTCGATTAAAAAAATGTTCTTAAGAAAAGTACTAATTGTTTTAAGGAAAATGAACATATCTGAAAATAATATATCTAAAGAAATTGTAAATCTTGTAACATCTAGAGTAATGAGAAGATTTTATAAAGTATAAACAAGACTTAAAGAATAAATATAATTTTTGAGATATAAAAAGATAGGATTCTGTGCATTATAAAATCTATTTTAATTATCGCAAGTGTTGTAATTAGTGGATGGTTTAATTATATACTAATATAATTTAATTATAAGTTTATATTTCTTCTATTATCAAACTTCCTCTCATTATATTATGAAGCTGGTAGAACTTAGTCAATAACTATCGAATTACCTATCTATTAAACTACTTACATTAGCACTAATAAATCTATTGATCTTGATACATAATTAATAATAGATTTATCAAATATTGATTTCGATAAATTTGAACCTTAATTTTAGTTTGCATTAAAAAACAAAAATATTCAAGTTTTATTGCAGATTGAGGTTACAAAAGAATGCCTAGATGATTATTTTTATGATTCTTGAAATTTTGGATCAGTTACTGAAAATCAGGAATTATAAATATACAAGACTCAGATTATATTATCACTATTTTGAAAGTCTTAAATTTATAGTAATAACTAACATTTTGTTTTTGTTGTCATAATAATAATAATAATATTGAAATCAAATTTGTAAAAGTGAATAATTTGCTAATTAAGAATTAGAGTTTTTTTTAAAATAATTTTAACTAAGTACTAATGTGTTGTGTTAGTAAATAGTAATTCTACTCAAATAATAATAATTTTCTACAATTACAAAATTGGTTCCATATATATATATAAATTTAATTGCTTTTAAATTATTTGTGTAATTTAATTTGAAAAGGATTTGAAATTTAAAGATCCAACTACTCTTTAAAATATAAATAATAATAATAATCAGATAATAATAAAATAAATTTTGTTAAAAAAATGCAAGAGTGCTAAGAATAAGATCACAATTAATAAGAAATAATATTAATTTGCATAAATATGGATTGTTAGTTAAAAAGAGCGTGTTGTTTGGATTGTATTCAAAAGCATAAATCACATAAATAAGATTTGAAAACAATCAAATAAATTACATTATGGAAAAAGAATACAACCTAAAGTTACGAACTATATTAAAAAAAGATGAATTAGATTATTGAAATTATGGGTTAGGCTGAGAAATACTTATCTGATATAGGTGAAGATATAGAAAAATCATTAGAAGTAATAATGAATGAGGAATATGAAAAATAAATTAGTAATTTGTTAAGAATACAATAATTATCATCATCTTTTAATTAATTAATATCTAATTTGGAGACATTAATGGAACCTATTTCATAAATATTTTCTATTGTTGATGCATCTTCAAGAGACAAATAAGTTAAGACATAGACAACTCAAAATAACCCTAGTATGAAACTAAAAACTATTGTCTAAGAATAATAAATAAAATATAAATAAAAAATAGATTTAGAAAATTAAGAGTTTAAACAAAATTAAGGAATTAAAATATTGAATAATTTAAATATAATCAGGAAAGAGAATAATTTTAATATATATTAATATCCTAGGTATTACAAATCATCAATTGAATATCTAGAAGACTACAAAACCATTATACTTATAGGTACATAAAGTTCAGAGAAGTAAAATCTAATAAACTTATTTGTTAATTACTATAATAGTGTTTAATTTACAGATCCTTATAGATTTGAAATTATTGATGATATTGATATAAACAAAGAAAAACAAAATGATGAATATGAATAAATGAAAGTTTATTATATTATTCCATAAAATGGTTAATCAGGACTTAGAATTATATATACACCAGATTATAATGATGATCTATGTTATGATGATCAAAACAAATCAGATATAATATACAATCTTATATCTAATTCAATTTCATTAAATCAAAACATTTTAATTGGTTTTGTTATTCCTTAATAAGTTTAAATAGGTTCATTTTATATGTTAGAATCTATCTTAAGTAAATTTCCAAATATACTAATTTAAAATATAGTATTTTTATTTCCAGATTGTATAAACGACTATCCTAAATAGAAATAAATATTATAATCTTAAATAGAAAATATAAATGGAATATTATCTCCTGTTTGTAAAATGATAACAACCATGAGAAATATTTGGTATCTTAAATTTAATTCTGCTGCTTTATTTGTAAATCATAAAACTTAAGAAAATTAATTTATCTGGGAAATGGGTAATAATAGTTTTTAATTGCTACTTAATAATTATTTATTAAACAAAATTAATTATAATAAATTATCAGAGATGAAGGTTAAATATGATGAATTTTATAATACTATTAATTTTTACATTTACATATAAAAAATGAAGCAAAAGTTTATGGAGTTGTATAAAAGAGACAATTTTCATTTAGATTTTGAATAAAAAATAGAAATTTGTTAATAATAAATAGGAAAGTATATAAATTTATAAAACGAAGATTATTCATTTTATAAAATAAGTTAGCCAACTAAATAAATTATTGAAGAAATTATGAAGAAATTCGATAACTCCATAGAAGAAGATAACAAGAAATTAGAATCATTCTAATCTCTATTTAAAAATTAAGAATTATATAATAAGAACTTTGAAGAGTTTTAAGATTTGTTTAAAAATTTTGAAAATTCCATGTTTTAAGAATATAATTCTTGGAGATTGTATTTTAGATTTAATTCAATATTAACTTCTATTAATCACAGTTAATGGAAATATTATGAACATTTAAATTCCAAAGAATAAAGCTCAAAGTAGGAGGGATGGGAAGAAAGAGTGAAACTATTAAATAATAAAACTAAATTCTTTTTTTATTTTGATAATTAGAGCAAAATACCTAATTTAGATCAGCTAAGTAAATTATGGTTTGATTAATATTTTATTCCAAAATAATGTTCAATAATGTAATATATCAAGCATTCATGGAGTTTTAAATAGAATACTTATTTTGAGACAGGATTGAATGTTGGAAATGTAAAATTATTTAATAATTACAAAAAGATAGAAATTACAAAAAGAATATTATAAGATTGTGATACACATTTTGAAAATTTCATTTAGAAAATTTTGCAAGTTCTATTATCTTGATTTTTCCATTATGATTTTGTTTATTAATATTATTTTATTTAAATATTAATTAAACTTGTGATGTATTAATTTGAGCAAAACTTTTTTTTAATCAATAATAAGGGGAATAAAATTATAATTTTTAAATTAATTTTTCATTTCTATCATATTAATATATTTTTTAGTAAAATATAATATTAAAAACTCAAATCCGAAACTTGAAACCTTATTGAAGAAGATTAAGGTAAGAAGAAATTCGAATTCAGTATTGAAATAATATTTAAAAAAAGTAAAAAAAGTTGAATTTATTTTGATTTTCTTTAACCAAAAAACAAATTCAATATTGTATTTTATCGTATGAAAGAATTTTATCTGGTTGGAGAATTAACTTAAATTTTTGCAAATTATTTATTTTAATTTATCTCAATTTTTTTATTTTGAAAAAAATCAACATTATTAGAAAAGAATAAAAATGGTTAGATCAGAAATTTAAGTTAATTTTTAATTTATGATTGTATAAAAGTCTTGATATTAATAATTATCTGCAAATATTTCAAATTGTCTTATTAATGGACTAAATTAATTTAAAAAAGTACCTTAACCAAAACCTTGAACAATCTGATAATTATTTAAATTGAATTTATTCTCCTAAATGATTTGCTTCTAATACTCTAAATTCATTTGATCCCATAAAGATATTATTTGTATTATTTATATAATCAGGCATCTAATAAACATTTGTTTAGTAAACCCTCAGATGCTTTTAGAGGAGAATAAATCAAAAAATAATTAATCTCAATGATTTAATTATTTTATATTTATACTTATTGTTCTTATGTTTATGAATATATCTAATAATTAAATTTTATTTGAAAGTAGTTTGTTATTAAAACTAGATTTTTTTTATTCTAGGCTTTAATTTATCGTCTTATATTTTTTGATAAAATGAGATTAAAAAGTGTTTATGATTGATTTAGAAACTATAATCAAAAATTTGATTATTATTTTGAAATCTAAGAATTTAATTATGTACAAATAGAACAGCAAATGGTTAATTTATATCAATTCTCTCTTTTTTAAAACTAAATAATTAACTCAANCACATTTTGAAAATTTCATTTAGAAAATTTTGCAAGTTCTATTATCTTGATTTTTCCATTATGATTTTGTTTATTAATATTATTTTATTTAAATATTAATTAAACTTGTGATGTATTAATTTGAGCAAAACTTTTTTTTAATCAATAATAAGGGGAATAAAATTATAATTTTTAAATTAATTTTTCATTTCTATCATATTAATATATTTTTTAGTAAAATATAATATTAAAAACTCAAATCCGAAACTTGAAACCTTATTGAAGAAGATTAAGGTAAGAAGAAATTCGAATTCAGTATTGAAATAATATTTAAAAAAAGTAAAAAAAGTTGAATTTATTTTGATTTTCTTTAACCAAAAAACAAATTCAATATTGTATTTTATCGTATGAAAGAATTTTATCTGGTTGGAGAATTAACTTAAATTTTTGCAAATTATTTATTTTAATTTATCTCAATTTTTTTATTTTGAAAAAAATCAACATTATTAGAAAAGAATAAAAATGGTTAGATCAGAAATTTAAGTTAATTTTTAATTTATGATTGTATAAAAGTCTTGATATTAATAATTATCTGCAAATATTTCAAATTGTCTTATTAATGGACTAAATTAATTTAAAAAAGTACCTTAACCAAAACCTTGAACAATCTGATAATTATTTAAATTGAATTTATTCTCCTAAATGATTTGCTTCTAATACTCTAAATTCATTTGATCCCATAAAGATATTATTTGTATTATTTATATAATCAGGCATCTAATAAACATTTGTTTAGTAAACCCTCAGATGCTTTTAGAGGAGAATAAATCAAAAAATAATTAATCTCAATGATTTAATTATTTTATATTTATACTTATTGTTCTTATGTTTATGAATATATCTAATAATTAAATTTTATTTGAAAGTAGTTTGTTATTAAAACTAGATTTTTTTTATTCTAGGCTTTAATTTATCGTCTTATATTTTTTGATAAAATGAGATTAAAAAGTGTTTATGATTGATTTAGAAACTATAATCAAAAATTTGATTATTATTTTGAAATCTAAGAATTTAATTATGTACAAATAGAACAGCAAATGGTTAATTTATATCAATTCTCTCTTTTTTAAAACTAAATAATTAACTCAAATTAAATTTGTTTTTTTTTTTAAATAATTTAAATGGGAACTATTTACTCAAATAAATAAATGGAGTAAGAAAATTTTATAAATAAATATCCAGATATTTTGAATAAGATGCCTATTTTTAGATTTAAATTCAAACAGATAATGAAAAAAACAATTAAATAAAAGCTAAGCACTTCAGATATTTTTATAATGGATTAATACTAATTAGAATATCCAATATTTAATGCTAATTAAAAAAGGAAATAATTTTTTATTGAGTTGAAGTATTAGTAATTTATAATAAATCTAAAATCTTGAATTTTTAAGAAAATAATAATATTTTCAAAAGGTTTGCTTAATAGACAACAAGATGGAAGGTAGAATAAAACCTAAAAGTAGGTGAATTTTATAGATAAACTATTTTATGTTTGGAAAATGCAGAGATATGAGAAGAATCACTAAAAATGATTCTAGTTATTTGTAAGAAATGAAGCAAAAATTAGTTTAGTCGTTGAAGAATTCATAAATATCTTATTTATAAATATTTAAATTTGAAGTAAAAATATAATAATAAAATGTAAATATAGTATTTGATTCATGATTTAAGATTATGGCTTCCTGTTTTTAATGAACAATAAAAGAGATGATTATAATATAAATAATGAATGAAATACCAAGTTAAGATAAGATTTAATTATTAATAATACATAAATAATTAAAAAAAATATAATTGATAGTTAATGAATTTAATAAATGATAATAAATTTAATAAAAATAATATAGAATAATATTAAATTATTGTTTCAATGAATAGATTTTGATTATTACCATCAAGGAAATCTATTATCAATAGATAAGAATTAGAAAGATACTTGATTTTAATAAAATATTTGATGTTTAAACATCTAATTCAATGATATTTAATTATATTACTTAAATTATAGAATCTTCGGAGTCATAAAAGTATGATGTTAGTTTTTATAGACGTTCATTATTTAAATATTTAACTATAAGAGTTAATGTTGACACCTTTAAATACAAATGATAGTATTGGATAAACAAATTTTTATCAGATGGGTGATTATACTAATAGTTAAAGTTGTTTAGATAAATTAGGTAATTAAATGGGAATCTTCCTTCAGCAAAAGATTGAATTAGTGTATGGAATGACAGGTAAATTATCCTTTATTATTTAGGATTTAATAATCCTAGAGTATATAATATATTCCCAGGAAATGATAAAGGTGAGTAAATATAATAGAATGAATTATTTAAATGCAAAGAAAAGTCTTTATCTGGAGCATATTTAGCATTAGGGTATTTGTTTTAACAAATATTTAGTCCTCCACAAAGGCCATTTGAGATTTATGCAATAAATTATAATTCCATAGATCTTACAGATTAATAGATCTTAGATAATTCTAATAGAGTTATCTTCAAAATTGAAAGAAAGTAAGCATCTATTTGTTGCTGTTGCTGTTTAGATAGGTAATAATTTTAATATTTTACTATTAAGACCATGTATTGAAGTTCATTATCTTGAAAATGGTGAAAATAAAAAATTAGGATAAATTATTGAATTGTGTTATTGTTGCAGGCTTGGCTGTAACATATTTGATTTTTCAAATTAATTAAAATATATAATTTAGGAGTCTAGTTATTGTTAATGTAATCATGCAAATTTTGATATTAAAACTCCTGATGGAGAAGTAAATAATCATATTAATTATTATAGGTAATTGCTCCTATGAAAAAGAAAATTAAAAATACTTGGGACGACTAGACTGATAATTTTAAAGTTGTATTTCCTTAAAATGCATCAAAAGAAGATAAGGCTTTGATTCTAGCAGCTACAATAATGTTTGAGTACATGTACTTCTCAAATACAGAAAATCTGAATCCTAATTAATATAATCAAAACAATTTCCCAATCTGAAAAAAAAATTATTAATCAAAAAGTTAAAATTTTCAATAAAATATTGTTTGAATTACTTAAATCTCAGAATTAATTCTCAATTAAAAATTAAAATAATATATCATTTGATTTACTAATCTTTATTAAATCCTCTTTGTTTATTACTTTTATAATTTTCTACTAATATATATCTTATTGATTTATCAGATCAAATAAATTATTTTACTTTAATTATTCATGGCCTATTTCTTATCTTATAGATATTGTAAAATTCTAACAATCTTAAACTTCATATTATGAATATCAAAATCAAGTTCTATTTCATTTTAATTTATATAAAATCTATATCAGTAAAATTAATTATTTTCTATGTTCATTTCAGTATATCAAAGAATTATATTAAATTTTTTATATAAAAATATATTTGTTAATTAAATTATGTTTAGAAATAATAAGAATCATTCCAGTTGAATATTTAAATAAAGCTTTTTTTAAGTGATTGGATTGAAAAAATATGAGTTATGGAAGTTTTAAATTATTTCGATAAATGTATTCAGATCAACTTAAATATTCTTTGATTGAAAAGAATGATTAGCCATCTCTAGTAGATTAATTATTCAATTAATTGTTCATATTGAGATGAAATTATTTTAGTATCAATATTATCAAACCTTAATCTAATATATATTTCATATTGACAAAAATCCTATAAATTTTGCATGTTAAAATATAGACTCAATTAAAAATTAAAGTATTTTTACACCTCAAATCCATCCAATCTATTTACAAAATACCTGAAAAGACTTTCGATATTTAAAATTATTTTATTATTGTTATTATTAAAAACTAAAAGTATTTTTCAATAGGCCATAATTAGTTGAATCCTGAGATTTTAAAATTGATGAGTCTTAATATTTTATGGTAACTTTTAGTATTCTGATATTTTAATGAAGTTTGAGATCTAATATTTTATTCTATAAAATATAAAAAACAATCTTCTAATTAGAATTAAATGATAAAATAGTATTAAGTAAATCTTTGGTTGTTTTTTGGTATTCATTAATATTTTGAATGCATGAATAAAACATTAATCTCCACAAGATTGCTTTGTAATCTATTGCAAGTAAATATACATTTATTAAATTATATTAAAATTAGAATTATGTAAATTAGATGTGCTTAAATCCATCATGAAAATGAACAAATAATTGGAGTTTGTATTAACAAATAATGTCAGTATTAAAGGCTGTATTGTAATTTATGCTTTCCTAATCATATTCTGCATCTTAACGAATTGAAACCTTTTGAAGAATTATAAAATTGGATTTAATCAAAGGTTCTCATAATTAATGATTTGTTCAAAGAAGCTTAAGAGTGCAAATTAATTATTGATAGTCTTTTCAATTTATTTGCACCTTACCTCAAAATAAGTGTAGAGTAGTTTCTTGGATTAGGTATTAAATAAATTAATTGCATGATTTAAAGTTTCAATTAAATCAAAGCTTGTGAGCAGACATTATTTATCTTAATTAAATCTTCATTCGAATAAATTAAATCACTTGTTTACCAAATTAAAAAAAAACTTAAGAATTAGGCAAATTTTAAGGAAAATGTTAATATACCACCTATACAACAACTAAATTCAATTAATATAGACTAACCAAAATGTATAAGTACATTGGAACCAAATTTAACAAAACTTAACTTTTAGATTATGAGTTAACATTCAATTAAATAAAATGAAAATTGTTAAGCAATTGCATTCAATAAAGATTGTTCAATATTAATAGCTGGGTCTAATGAAGAGATTAAAGTATATAAACATTTATAAGGGAAATTGAATCAAATATAAGTATTAAACGAGCATAAATCTGATGTTTATACTTTAAATTTTATGAATAAAACAAATAATTTTATTTCTGGAAGTTGTGATAATTCAATTATAATATGGTAAATGAATTAAGATAATTAATGGAATTTAATTTAAAAATTAAATGATCATTCAAGTAGTATTAATTGCTTATTATTAAATAATAATGATGATATCATAATATCAGGTAGTTATAAAGATATAAAATTTTGGATGAAATAGAAAACATGGTTATGTTAATAAACCATAACTGTTCACACTGATAGTGTTTTTTCATTAAGTCTTAATGAACATTAAAATTAATTGATTTCATGTTCATAAGATAATTTAATATTAATAATTGGATAATCTCAACTAAATAAAAAATGGAGTGTTATATAAATGATAAAAGTAGATTAATTTGGATTTAGATTATGTTTTATCAATCATAACTTATTTGCATTCTAACCATATCTTAAAGAATAATTATATATTTATGAAATAGAGAGCCATTCTCTTTAGTTTAGAAAAACCAAGGAAGTTGAAGTAAAATGTGGGTTAAATTTTTGTAATTGCTTTTTTCCATTATAATATATAAAATCAAAGTATCTATTAGTGAATAAGAATGGTAAATATGTAAATATAATTATGATGAAATAAAATGGTGACTTTATCATGCAATAATCTATTGAATTTGATAGTTATGATATTTATGGATAATTAAGTAATGATGGAGAGTATTTGATAACTTGGGATAGAGTTTCAAAGGAAATTAAAATAAGGAAGTGTTAAGAATTATGAATATAAAATTTTATAATCTTAAAATATATTACTTATGAATTACAAAAAAAATTTAATTTAAAATTTTTTATAATTTTGATGCCATATTCAGAATAAGAATTACTAACAACCATTTTAAATTAGATTAGAATCGCAAATTATAATATTACTTTGCCAAAATTTATGTAAAATTGAGCAAATCTTTAAAATTAGGTAATCTAGTTCATTTTTTTTAAATGACAAATTAATGAGTAAAAATATTATTTTTTAATATTTTCTGATTAATTAAATCTAAAATTTATTAAATTTTAAGTCAATAATTTTTATTTAATGGTTTATATGACCCAAATCCTTAAATTGCATAATTCTAAATAATTAATTGATGCTATCAACTTATTGACATGTTGTTTTTGGTTATTCTAATTTTAATTAATTTAAAGAGGATTTATGTGCAAACTTCTATCTTATTATAAAGTTCATAAAAAAGGATACCAGTAAATAGATAAAAATTTTTTATGTAATTAATAGATTAATATTTTAGAAGGTGAAAAGAACGGAATTAAATTCATATTTTTTATAAACTTTATTAAGAAACATTATAATATAAACTAAAATTAGGTAATTTTAAAATATTTTAATTATTATCATTATTAGATCATTTACATATGATAAAAAGTTAAAGTTACTTTTAAAACCATTAAAGAAAGAAGCTCAACAAAGAAAAGGGCAAACATTATAATATAGGATGTGTTTCTGCAATTACATAATAGATATAAATAGTTTTAATAAAAAGCAAAAAATCTCTAATTTAAAAACAAGTGTTATGGAGTGTAAACTGGATTGCTCATCGAAGTTTTACACTTTTATTGTTATTAAAGATTTAGATTTTAGTATTAAAAATATCAAGTTATGTAATGTTTTCTATTGCTGCTTTGAGTATAATTATTTAGAAAATACGTTTTTCTCTATTCATTCCTATTTTTAAGAATTGCTTTGTATAAATTTATTTATCCTTTTAATATTATTAATGAAAATTATGTTAATAAAGTATTTAATAATGTCATTAATTTTTACAATTATTAAGTTTGAGAACCAGAATTTAAAATCCTTACCCTTAGCTTTAGACTAATCATTTAATGATCAACTTTTTGTTTTCAAATAATAAACTTTACCAGGACAATAATCTTTCAAATAAGAAATAATCTTTTTATGTTTTAAAAAATTTATAACATTAAAATATAAAAATTAATTAAAATTTAAAAATTTTATTATTTTTAAAAATATTTTTTTTATTATTCAAATTTTATTTTTATTAGAGTATTTTAGGAGAAGTATTTAGAATTTTAGAATGGAAATTTACTATCTTTAGATACTATGGATTAAAAACTATACTAATGGTTAAATAATAATCTTTTTGTTTCCTAAATAAGTAATTGGTTTTTTTTAAAAAAAATAAAATTTAAAATGAGGCCATAAAAAAATCATTCTTAGAAGATTCAGAAGTCTTTATGGGAGTTAAAATTAAAGAATTCTCACTCCCAGAAAGACAATGTAACCTTTTATGTCTGTCATTTAATCCTAACAGATTTGCAAATTCAATTAAATAAGGTTTGCCCAAAGAAAAAATATTTAATTTTATTTTCTAGATGATAGGTGAAAGTCGTGAACGGCACAACAAAAAGAAGAATCGATAGCTAACTAAATAAAAAGGGCCTTCTTGGAATAGAAAAATAATGAGAGAAGACAATTAAATATGATATATGTATGGAAAAAACTTTAAGTTTAAGGGTAAATTAATATAATATTAAATTTTTTTATATAAATTTAAAATTTTCATTTTTAACATGAAATTATTTTATTTATTTAAATTTATAAGAATTTGCTTAAATATTTATTCCAAATATTTTTTAATCAGTTAATCAAATTATTTTGAATAAAAAATTAAGATTATTTTTTAAGAGTAAAAGAATTTATATAAATTTTGAATAATTTAATATGATTATAAATTTATCAATTTATTTTGCTTAAATCATATATTTTGAACATTTCTTAGCACCATGTAGCTAAATAGGATCCATCTTCTGATACCTTTCCAAACAATTTTAAATTTGATTCCATAATTGAATTAATCTTAGCAAAATTATTTTTATCATCTCTTTTTATAAAATGAACAAATTTATTATGTTTTATAACAAACAGTCTTTTTTAATTATTATAAGAAATAGGAAAATTAAAATAATCTTATTCTTTATCATCTACTTGGATCTTTTTTTTAAATTGATATGTTTGACTTGATTATTCAAGAAAATGTAAATAACCCATTTTGTCTAAAAAAATGATAAATTAATCAACAAATTTAATTCTACAACCAAAAGAAACAAAATTAGGATCTTCAATTGTTCTAATAGGTTACCATTCATTATTTTTTTACCACAGTACTAAATAGTTTGCGTCATGACAAGTTACAAATTATTATTCAGAATCATTAAGGCTGATTCCAAAAACTTACTTATTTGAGTATTATTTTGGTTTTTGATAGAAAGTAATCTATTAAAAATTATTCATCACATTAAATATTTGAATAAATCCATTAGACTATCCAACAAATAAAAAATTCTCCTTTTTACTAAATATCATACATCTAATTCCACCATTTTGATATTGTGGAAGAGTATTTATTTGAATCCAGGGTTATTCTATTTCTTTTTTTTACCACAACACAATCTTTCCATCATTCAATCCTCCTCCAGATATTAATGTATTTTAAGTCTTCTAACTAAATAATAGGCAAGCTACATCATTATCATGCCCTTATAAGGACTAAATTTTAATTGGTTATTTTCCATCAAATTTCCAAAGAATTATTTTAGAATCTTAAGTTGTAGCAATTAAAGAATTATCATTATTAAAACAAATATCCTAACATTTTTGAGGTTATTTTTGTATACTTATTGGCCTCAAAAAATTTTATGGAAAAATATTCATTTTAATTTTTTCTACCAAACTTTCAACTTGTTATAAATCCTCAAGCTTTAGATTATTGTATAATTCACTTTTTATCCCTGATTCAATTTAGGATTGGCTTTTCTCAACTTTGTTATCGTATGTCAGATTAAAATTTATTTCATCTTCTTTATTGTTATTTTGTTGTGAAAATTTAGTTATATATTCCCTTATAAATTGTAAAAATTCCTCTATTAAATTTTCTTCACTAGACAGTTATTGCATTTTCTTTTTATATAAATTTCTTCCTTTTTTTTTTCTAATTCTATTAAAAACTTTATAGATATATATTCTAATTCTATTAATAATGGAAATATAAAATGAGAAATAGTATATAAATTAAATAATTTTAGTGTTAGTCTTAAATTATGAAAAGTATAAAATATATATTTAAAAAAATATTAGAAAAAATTTTTCTATAAAATATTTAAGTTATATATATATTAGAGGATAAATTCAGTAACAACAATAAAAAATAAAATATTTATTATTTCAAAAAAAATACAATTCAAAGAAAATTTTTGTTTATTATGAAGTTTACATACTTAGTTAAATTATAAAAGTTATAATTATTTTTCAAAATTATCTTATACTTAAATTTTAGATTTAAAGGGGTAATTCTTTAAAGGAAACTTCATTAATACTAAAAAAATGTAAGGAGTATTTAATTGTAATTAGATATAAAAACAATTAGTGATTCAATAATATATTTTAACCAAATTAAATCTTAATCCTGGAAAAAAAGCTTGGCTTGAGAAATACATTTAATAAAATTCTTATTGAGATAGAAAAAATGAAGATAATTCATATAAATTATTAATTTTTACTAGTATATATAATAAAGGTTATTATAATTAATAGAAAAAATAAAAATAGTGTAAAAACTTAAAATTAAATTACTTTAGATATAAAATTCATGCTCTCGATAAGAAATCTTCATACATTTAATAAGCATTGGCTCTTTAATCAGTTGGAGACATATGACCTGCTCCTCTTAGAATATAAAATGTTAAATAATTATATTCAACAATCCAGCCTGCTAATTATTAAGTTTCTTTATTTGCAAAAGGTTTTCTTGATATTAACTAAAGATCGTCAATTAATTTAAATGATGCATATGTATAATCAACACTAATGACATCATCAGCATTTCCAGAAAATTAAAGTATCTTTACACCATTATTAAATAAAAATTTCATTAAAGTATGACTGTTTTTATCTCTATTGTAATTTAGAAAAACATCAATATTGCATGATTCCCATTTACGTTCTTCAGCAATTCCTAACTTTTATTTGACCATTGGATCATTAAAATAATTATTTAAAATTCCATCATCAATACAAGAATAGTCTTCTACATCTTTATGATAGATTGATGAATCTCCATAACAGTATCCATATACATTATAAGGATTCAAATTTTTTCTTACAACTTTTTCTCTCTCTAATGCTCTTTAACAACTTACTGATTTTGGATTTTTTGTGCATGAAATTTACATAACATTTTATGTTACTAAATCAAAGAAATTTCTTTTAATTAAATATTCTCTATTCCATTTAAAAATGAAATTATCATCATTTACTAAAACCCCATTACCTATCATTATGCCTTTCAAATTAATTTAATCATCTGGAAATTAGAGATTATTTTTAATTATGACTTCTGCTGTGCAAGGTATATACATTCCTTAAATTAAATGGACATATTACCTGAATATGATACACCACTTATCCAAATTTCTCTACCTTTATAATTTTGAAATGCATTTAACCATGTTTTAATTGTTTCATAAGAATGAAGACCAGTATTAGTATCACTCCATTAATATTGATCATCATGAAGTTCAGAGTATCCAACTCCTGCAGGTATATCTAAATATAAAACATTTCCTAATTTATGTAATGAATAGGGATTTTCTTTTAATTCCATTTTATCATTTCCCCATATTCTTACATAAGGTCCAATTCCTGAAATTAATCCAGCCATACTACTACATCCTGGTCCACCACCAAATTATATTATCAAAGGTTTACTATCAGCATTACTTATACTTTCCATAAAAATATAATGAATGACTCTTCATCTATTTTATTATTATATTTACTATTTTCCATTTTAAATTTCCACAAATCCATTATACGTTTTAAAGTTATATTATGGATAATATGGCCAATCTAAGATCTCATCACTTTAAGGATCTACACACTAAACTAAGGCTGTCAAAAACAGAAATAGAAAATATTTCATTTAATCAATTTTAATAAATAATAAATGAAAATTTATTTATTAAAATTACAAACTATTTTTTATTATTAAAAAGATAAATGTACATTTTAATCAATTATTTTATATAACAATTCAAAATGCTTTTATTCCTTTATTCATTTAAACCAATTTATAAATGAAATCAACTAAACTATTTCGTATTAGAGTATTCATATTAACAAATTTAATATTTTATTATTAAAATATTTAAAGATACTCATTAATGTAATAATTATTATAATCAAAAAATCAATGTTATTTATTAATTGTAATTAAATTCATTTCTCATTATTTTAATCTTGATTACTTAGACAGATAGATTTATTTAAGTATTTATAATTTTTTTTATCAAATTTAATATTTCTATTTAATGTCTCAATATGACTTAATAATTGAAAAACTTACTACCAATTTAGGATGCTTATTCGAAATGGAAGAAAAATAAAATGATAAAAAAACGAAACTATTTGCATTTTCTCTATCTGATTAATCTTAATATAAATGGCTAGAAGATGAATTATCAAACCAAGCCTAAATATAAAAAACTAAATTGCTTAGACATTATCAAAAAATCTTAGATTTACATAAAAAATACTATCTGTTTGAATATGTCGAAGGAAAAACAATTTAATCAGTAATTCATACTTAGAGAGTTAAATAAGAATCAATACCATTAGAAACAATAAATAATTATCTAACAAAGTTGTTGGAAGCCCTATTTTATTTACACAAAATGGATATTTTAGGGCGAGTCTTTTCAATTGGTAATATTATTGAAAATCAAAATAACATTACATTAATGGATTTTGGTTTTGCACCTGAAATATTACAAAATTCATTAGATATATTAGCTCCTCCAGAAATCATATCAAAAATTGTTGACAATAGTAAAATATTAATATTATTTTCAAGGTAAAAGAGGAGAATACGGAATTGAGATAGATGCATGGTTATTAGGAGCATTTCTATTTAATCTTGTTAAATTATATCCAATTAACTCTTATTAAGTAGATAATAGAATAAAAGAATTCAAATACTCATAAATAAGAGAATATCATCAATTTCTTCAATAATAAATGAAGAATTCTAAAAATATTAAAGCAAACTCATCAAGATATCCTTTATAATTAACTGAATTTATTGAATCCTTATTAAAATACGATTATAAGGAAAGAATATCATTTTCAGAGATATATTAATCTGAATATATTAAATCCCTTAAACTCGAAAAGAATGAGGAATATTTATCTTTTTATGAAAATCTAAATTTGAATGAAATAAAAAAAAAGATTTAACTTAGAGATGGGGTTTCATAAGATGATCTTATATATTCTGGTTAATTAACATCAATTGAAGTTCGATTTCCAAAGTAATCTTTTAATCTAATATTTATTAGCATTCCTAAAATTTAAATTTAAAGTGTAGTTCCAAATATGGAAGATGAAGAATATCATCAAAATATATTTCAACAACCTAAAAATAGTAGCTTTTTGGAATTACCATTTATGATATAAAATAACAATAAAGTAGATTAATTTATAAATAATAGGATTAAAAATTTGCTAAACTTATATAAATTATAAATATGGAATAGTTCAGATATTTTATCTTGATAAATACTGCAAATGATGTTGTAACTTTGTTGTCTAATAAATAATTTGGATTAGAACTTGCAGTTAATTATTTTTTGAAAAAAATGGGATATCTGATTTTACATGAAATGATAGCAAAACTTAATGAAAAAAAATGTCCTTGGACTTATAGTTAAGCAGAATGGTAAGAATTTTAAATCATTGATGTTAAAAAAACTTTAATATCAGAAATTACCTAAACTATTTAAAATGATTTAAAAGAACTTAAAATTTTATTTGATAAATGTTATAATGATATAATTAAAAATGAAAAACTTGATGAAATTATAAGGAATACATTAAAATAAGATTAATCTCATTATTAAAGCAATAAAAATCCAGAAACTAACATTTTTGGATGCACTTCAAATGAATTTTTAAAAAGTGGTTACAGAAATATGACTTAACACTTATATAATTTTTTAGTTTTGAATGTTCAATTTGATGATATCAGAACTAAACAATACAGCCTTTTATTAAAAACTGTTTTATGTCATTTGATAAATCGGATATTCAGCTATGATTAACTAAATACTCAATTCAAAAATATAAGACCTTTATTATATTCCTATGATATAGCTCCAGAGGATATTTTTTAATTTATTGAATCTAAGAATAATGATGAATTAAAAATTAATGAGATTTAACATTTAGTAAATAAATATTTTTAATGATAATGAATGAATCCATGAAATATTATAAATATCTAAAATCATAATATATATCCTATTTAAATTAGAAAAAAGAATTTTGTAAGTTTTTGTGTATAATTCAGTTTAAATATTATTTATCTATTAATTTTAAATTAAATCTTATTTACTCAATTAAATGATTGATCAATTTTATACTTAATCAAATATTTAAGCTAGTTTAAAATAGAATTCTTGATATCTTTTCTATTTGGAGAAATTTCAATGTTTTGGCTTTATAAAAAAAGATTTAAGTAATTATTTAGATAATTAATATATGATAGTTGAATTATAGTTAAAATAAAGAATAATTATTAGTTGCGATGAAATCTAATATGATTATTCAGTCAAGACTATATAATTACTTCTAATTTGTAAATATAAAACTGCAAAACAATAAAATTTTCAATTTATAATTAGAAAATAAAATATTCTAAATAAAATTGAGAACATTAAAACCGATTTAAACCAATACATCCAATTATGCTGAGATTTTTTGTATTCACTATCGTTTAAAATTTTAATTCTTCTTTTAATTATCAATATCTAGGTATTTAAATTAATGAAAAAATATCGTTTCCTCCTTAATTTTTAAAGAAACTTCTCTTTAGTAAAACAAAATAATTTCAAAGGATATTAAGTTATAATAGGTTTTAATTTAGGATGAAAAAATCCTTTACCACTGTTAGAAATTTGCTTATATCTAATTTGATTGGTTTTCACGAACTTTCGAAAACTTGATCATGAAACAATTTGTCCATCTAAATCTAACTTAGTTTATCCTATTTTAATCAAACGAGATGCATTTCGAAAAACGTTTACAATTTCTAGCTTTACTAGATTATTTCTACCTGTGATAAAGAAATTTTAGATATTCCCAAAAGCATCAAAATGTAGTCTTTTGTCATATATCAATTTAAATTAATTTCTTAATTAAAATACATAAAGTATAAAAGGAAGAAACAAGAAAACATAAGAAATAAAAAAATTAAACCTTTGAAGATTGGGGGGCAAACTTAATGAAGATATTATTATTATTATTATTATTATTATTATTATGATTATTATTATTATTATTATTATTATTATTATTATTATCATTATTATTATTAAATTATTAAGATTTACACACAAAATTAATTATTTTATAAAAACATCTTGATTCTAATTAGAAAATATATATACGAAAATGAATTTAATTATTCGTTTCTAGATATTTATGGTATGCAAAGCAATAGATTTAAAGTTTTAATAATTTGTAATTTTTCAAAATTATTCTTAAATAAAAGATTTTCGTCAAAAGAAAACTCAACTTAAAAATTATAAAATTCATGTTGTGAACAAAAATTTTGTTTTCTATTATCATAAACTCTTTTCTAAAATAAGAATAAGTATTTATCAAACTAAATATAAAGCTTTAATATTTCCTAAAAATACAGAGATTATTAGATTTTTCGAAACAAATCCTGTATTCTAAAGATTGAAATAAGTCTGAATTATAAATTCTTAATAAGAATATAAAATAAATAGAATGACTTAACTTTGATTTAGGGTGAGAAATTTGAAAGTATAAAATCAAAAAGTAAAGTTATTTTTAAGTAAATTTTGGAATAATTTAGTAATGGTGAGGATATTTTTTTCAGTAAAGTAATATTTAATATTTATTATAAATACAAATGTTTTTTGAGAAATTGAGGATTTATAACACGAAAGAGAAATTGATAGAGAGAATAATATAGTATAAAAGAGAAGAAGAAAGAAGAAAAAATAGCCCAATAAGAGAGAAAATGAAAAGAACAAGTATAAAAAGTTGCTTATTATTTTAAGTTTCAACTTGTTAAACTTAACGAACAGTTTTCAATTGTAATAATCGAGTATCAGTATCTCCAAAGATTTAATGTGCTTTAGATATAGAGAAAATAAGAATGCCCTTTAGTGCAGAGAGAGAGAGTAATCATTTAACAAGAGTGACAGAGATACCTATTAGATAATAGTTTTATTATAGAGTTTATAAATAGATTGACTACTCCTTAACCGGCTAAAAAAAGTATATTAGACCATATTAATGAGCAGGAGGAAGAAAAGATGATTAGAGAATTATTTGATAATTATAAACCAGAATAATTTGATGACTTAATTGAGAATGATGTATAGGAGATAGAGAGAGTTAATGAAGAGGCTTATTTAAATTCATTGAAGCAATTCTCATATTAAGATTATAGTCCTCAAAGAATGAATATGATAAAAAAGCATTAACATCATCATCATAAATCAAATCCGTCTCGTTAAAACAATAATAATAATAAGTATTATTAATAACGATAATTGTATTTACAATAATTGGAATATAAGGGTGATATTTATTAAGAATAAAATACTGATCGAGGAATATTCCTAAAAAGGTTTAGATTTGCTAAGTAATTAATTTATTATAAAAATAGTAAAAACTTGAATAAAGTTTGTTAAGAAGATTTTAGAAAAGTAATTAAGTAATAAAATAAATTGGAAGATTATGCATAATTTTATAAACAAGCCCCAAATTTATATATGCAATTGAATAAGAGTTCAAATTAATAATCTATATTTTAAAGTGGATTAGGATTAGTACAGTAGTGTAACCACATTTAAACTGCGAATGCATCAGGATAAATTAGAACAAATTAATAAGTAAAAGTATTTTCGGAGGCTTTAAAAACTTCATAATGCAAAACTTTGACTCATTTAAAATTAAGTCATAATAAACTAAATTCTTTAAAGTATTAGATTTAATTTAATTTAGAATCTAATAATTAACAAAGTCTTTTCCATAACATTTATAAGAATTAGATTTAATGAATAATGGATTGGATTCTAAAGCTTGTTAGTTATTATCAAAATATATATAAAATTCAGCTATAAAGAAAGTGAATCTAGAGAATAATAGAATAGGAGATTTGGGTAGCAATGCTTTATGTTTAGCAATATAAGATCATGATTATTTGCTTTATTTAAATTTATCGAAAAACAATCTAACAGAACATTGCACTATTGAATTGTCTAATTACATAAAGAAAACTTAAGTTTTATTTGAATTGTATCTTCATTTTAATTCTATAAACAGTGTTGGAGGAATAAATATTTGGAAAGCTTTGTATAAAAATTCAAGTGTGAAGGTGTTTGATATATCATATAATAAAACTGCATCGTTGGAATGTGCATAATAAATGGCAAAAGTAATAATTAAATAGTACCCAGAATTAATGCATATTGATATTTCATATAATAATTTTAATGAAGAATAATCAATAGAGATTAAAAAAGCATTAGATCAAAATCAAAATATTTATGGATTTCATTATTAAGGTAATTGTCCAAAATATTCTGTTGATTCTACTGGCCATTTAAGAGACAGAATATAAGAAGCTATCGATATTTAAAATAAAATTGAAGAATGCAAAAAGAATCCCTAAACAACCTTAAAATTAGTTGATGATAACTAAATCTAATCTATAGAAAATTAAGAACTTGAAAATAATCATAATTATTATTAAAATAAGATAAATAACTCTCATAATGATTAAGAATTACATAGAAATTTTAGATTTCGACGTATTTAGGGAATGAAACCTATAAAATAAAATTATGATAAGGATGGTGAATTAGATGCTTGTTGGATTTGTGATGGTTGGTAGGAAGTCAAATTTACATGGACTCCAGGTAAATCAGGTGGAATGAATAATGATCCAATATTTGTACATCTAAATTTTGAGAGTTATAAACCTATCCTTATGACCCTACATAATGGAGAGTATTCTGCTTATAGAATGTGTCCACCAAATTATAAAGTTACTTATTTTTTTAGTAATCCTGTATTAGGAATTTAGACAACAGCAAAAAACTAATTAATCACATAAACACCTTCAGATGATCCATTATATCAAACTAAATAATCATTTTTATATAATGGTGATATTTTGATTGAAGGTAATCGAATGGGTTTTGTTAATGAAATATTTACAGAAGATAAACAATCAATAATGGATAGATATTTTGCTAAAGTTTTCAGTAAGCCAAGAGAAGAGCAAAAAACATTCGATTTAACTAAATTTTTAACAAAAAGAGAAAAACCTTTTTGGAGTTATGAACTTTCAATTTTTAAGAACTATTAACCTGATAATGAAGAGTTGATAGATGAATGTTTTGAATATGATTATGGAAGTTCAAAAATAAATAAAATAATAAAAGATCCTTTAGAATATAATGAAGTTAAGGAAATAATGAGAGAATATTATCCATATATATTTGCATCATATAAGTTTTATGCATCTATATTAATAGGAGCTACAATTCCTTGTATTTCATCAAATGCCTTTTTTGATTTAGTTAATTCAACCAGTATAATATCAGATAAATTCAGATCTGGTGATATAGATTTAAATTTCATTTCTACATCAAATGGAAAAGATATAAATTATCCAAATGTATATGAAAAAGCATTGGTTAGATATTAATTGATGGAATTATTAATTAGAATAGCAATTGATAAATATTTAAGAACTTAAATATGTAAATCAGTAAAAGAAAGTTTGAGAAAGTTATTTGAAGAAGATGGAATAAAATAAAAACTCTTAGAAATAGATCGAAGTTAAGATTGGAGAGATATGAGATATTGGAATGAATAATGTGATATGCTTTTAAGTAAGAATTGTTAAATTCATATATAGAGGATAGATTACCAATGTTAAAGATGCTGTTCAAATATACATCCAAATTAAATCCTAAATAAAAATATTATAAACATTCATGGCTTTAATTTAAAGACTTTAGAGATTTAATTAATAAATGCGATTTATATTGTGATATTTTTGTTGAAAGAGATGCATATTTAGTATATTTATTATCAATGTAAACTTCAGTTGATGAATTGTTCTTACTTAAACATTTTCAAATGGAATTTTATGAATTTTTAGAGGCACTTGCTAGATGTGCTGAAAAACTATCATTAATTAGAACTCAAGATTAATTAACTATTGATGAAAGGAGATAACAACCTTTATTCAAAAAATTAGATGCTTTAACTTATCTTATCTATATAAGATTAGGAGAATCAATAAAATCTTATTTTAAAGATTCAGAAGATCTTTCGGATTTCGATAAATGCATGTAAAAATAATATGGATTGGCTATCAAATAACCAAATCCTGAAGAAGAGGAGGAAGAACTTGAAAAACTTACTCCTTAATAAGAAGATAAAATACTTGATGAATAAATTAAAATTATTGTAGTTCCCCCTTAAATTACGGTGGTATTTATCAAATTTTATAAAATAAGGTTTAAACAAATAAGAAAACCACTGGAATGACATTTTTGTAGGTCATTAAATAGGCTTAATAATAAAAATAATTAAAAAACCTATTCAATTTGACAAATGTAGTTTAATACTTTAGATTAAAAGAAGAAGACTAATAAAAATGATTAAATATTTTCTTATAATTATGTAGATAGCATTATAATTATTTTTAAAATATGTAAGAAATAAATAAAATAGGTTTAAGAATATATAGAGAGATAAAATAAATTTTATTTTGTGTTAAAATAATTAAATTAATACAAATGTTAAAATCCTTTGGAATTATTTCTGGATTTTTTTTACTTAATCAAGGAAAGGTTAATTCTTTAACAGAGAATTTTAATGCAGCTAGACATGCCTTATGCATTCTATTTCCAGATTAAAATTCAGGAGTGAATGGTGTAGTTTCTTTTTCATAAGAGCATATTAATTCAAAAACTAAGATTGCTGCAGTAGTACGAGGATTAAAGCCAAATAGTCTACATGGTATACACATTCATGAATATGGTGATTTAAGTAATGGTTGTACTACTGCTGGACCTCATTATAATCCTTTTGGAAATGATCATGGAGGTCCATTAGATGAAAAAAGACATGTAGGAGATTTAGGTAATATAAAAACAGATGAAAGAGGAAATGGATATTTAGCTTATGAAGATAATTAGATTTAACTATATGGAGAGTATAGGTAAATATGCATGTGAATTAATTAAGTATTTTGGGAAGATCAGTTGTTGTGCATGCAGGTTAAGATGACTTAGGTAGAGGAAATTAAAAAGAATCTAAAACAACTGGTAATAGTGGTGCTAGATTGGCATGTGGAGTTATTGGTTTGGCTTCAGGATTTAAGAATTTATAGCCATATAAATGATTATAATTAATATATAACTATAGAAAAATTTAGGAATATTATTATTCTCTTAATTAAAAAAAATGTTATCATTCGATTATCTTTTGAAGCCATTCGATTAATTTGATAAATGGGTGATGAGTAGTGTTAAAGATTTGAACATTTCAGAGGACAAAGTTAGACTTGTTTCATATTTTGTAAAAATTAGATTTCATTATTAGCTATTTTGCATTCCGATTGCAATTATCTTTAGTAAGATAAAATAAAGATGAATAAGACTGATATATAACATATTTTTTGGAGTATTCTTCACTTTGTTTTTGGGAAGAGAGTGGTTTGTGTATATAAATATTACGACTGTATTGGTTTATTTTATATCAACAATACCAACTAAAAATGTTATTATACCAATATCAATAACAGCATTAGTAGCTTTATCATATGTTCATCTGTTCAGATAATGGGTAATTCAAATGACATATAATTAGTTTGATTATTTATCTTGGAAGATTGACTTTTCAGTAATTCAGATGACTGTAACATGCAGATTAATTTATTATGCTGTAGATTTATAAGATGGAAAAGCTTATGATACTGGATTTTGGACATATTACTCATACATATTTTCATTCTTTAGTATAATGATTGGTCCTGTACCATATCATAACTATTTAAATTTACTTAATTAAAAAGAAGAATATTCTAATATAAAGTTTAATAAATATAAATCAGTTATTACAAATTTAATAAAAGCTTTGTTATTTTGTGGTGGTGAAATTTGGATAAGACCATATGTTGATTATGATTGGTATGATTCACCATAATGGAATGAACTGAATCTTTTATAAAAGAATGTTTTATAAGCAATAATTGGTTTAGTAGCAAGAATGAGATATTTTGCTGGATTTAAATTTACATAGGCTGCAATGGATGCAGTTGGTATTACTTATAATGAAGATTCATGTATATATAATATTAAAATATTGAATAGAATAATTTGATAAATTCATTACTTGTGATTACTCTTATGAAAAGGATGTAAGTGCAATTCATAAAACTACAAAATGGAATACTACTGTATAAATGTGGCTAAAATATTGTTTTTTTGATAAATTATCAAATCTTTTTAATGTTTCCACAGCTTATTATATGACATATGGAATAAGTGCTTTATGGCATGGTTTTTATTTAGGATATTATTAAACTTTCTTTTGGTGGGCATTAATAAATTAGAATTGCAAATATGTTTATAGATGTAGAGATAAATTTTAATGGTATTTAATTATTATAAACTTTATAAAGGATACCAGCATCACTTAGAAGTATTATAGCATTTACTTATTGTACATTTACAATGAATTAAATAGCCATGACTATGGGTTTATTAGATTGGGATAAAGGAATGAGATTTAATAATAGTATGTATTGGTCTGGACCTATTGCTGTTTTGATTGTATTCTTCTTCTTTTTCATTACTCAATTTGGATAAAAAAGAAGAATATGAATATATTATTATTTATTAATTCTCATAAATATACATAAACGTAATTTTCATCATGTTAAATTGTTGTATCAGATGTTATTTAACTATTTATTATTTAACAAACTTTATTATAATTATTCTTGCTTTTAATCTTTGCAATAATTCCATTATTCAATTATTACTTTTGTACTTTAGGATTCTCTTTAGAATTACTCTAAATACAAATCATAACTCTATTATCTTATGTTATTTAATAATAATCAGTTATATAATGTAAAAGAGTACACTCTCTTGCCTATTTAACTTTACTACTTCCACTTAATTTTATTCTTTTATTATATTCACTAACTATTACTAAATCATTTGATTACTCAAAAAACCAACCTATTGACTATTAAGCAAATTGTGCTATTTCAAATCGAATATTCTAAAAATCTATATTCATTTCATATGCAACTTCTTAATTTAAATATATTGGAGATTCAGAATTTAATAATTACTTCATAAATTATACTTTTCTCAATAATTCTTCATTATTTATATTATAATTTTTATCATCTAAAATTATTATTGGATAATTTTTAACTAAAATAAACATAAGCCAAAATTCATCTAATGCTTCAATTTACTTTTTTATATATTAAATAGGATTAGATGTACAAGTTATTTACTTTACAATATAAAGTGTTTATTCTTTCAATTTCATATAAACATGATGATCATTTATAACCTATGAAAATCTTTTACTTAATAATTAATGTTGTTCTGAAATAATTACAGCTATTTTTTGAGGATGATCACTACCTTAAGTATTTTTTTAATCACATTCCCATCCTTCCAAAATTAATGATTTTAAATTATCACATTTTATTCTTAAATCCCAAAAAGATTCAGTAGCTTAAATTTATAGCTATTCTATCAGTTTTGTTAGATTTACAATTTGTTTCTCTAATTTTTCTAATTAACTTTCTTTCAATCTTAAATGCTATTCTAAAACTGTCACTTTTGTTAATAATTCTTAATTCTAAACCTAAATCTAAGATTATTCTATCAAAGTTTAATTCTTTAATTCTATGTCCTATTGTAAATTGATGAATTTATCTACAATCATTTACAATTTTATATCTAAATTTTACACATTTGGTATATTAAAATATTCATAAAAAGCTTCTAACTTGTTATATTATTATAAATTCTATTCAATATATCTCAGAGTATTTTTTAATTTAATGTTCTCATTTTATACTTTAATCAATCTATCTCTCAAAATATAAATATCATCTGTTTGCCCTGAATTTTATTATGAAGCCTCTAATTTTATAATTTTGTTGCGAGCTTATTCTAACTATTCTTAAAGTTCTGTTATTTACTTGTTTGAAATGAATTCTTAAAATTTACTCATTTAAATAAATTAAAAATTTACATTAACATATAGATTGCGTAAGAATAACTTTAGTTATTATAAATTAGTTTTAAGAACAGTATTAGTGATTGTTATTTCATTTTAAATTAGTAATAATAAATAAGTAAACAAAAATTACCACATTATCATTGATAATTGATTTTAATAATTGTATTTTTATGAATTAATGTTATAGCTCTTCTAATTTGAATGCACTATTACCTATGGAGAATTACTAATTAATACTTAATGAATAAACAAGATTATATAGATATATTCACAGTTAGAACACTATTTAAATAAAGAAGTTTGATTCATAAGAAATTACTAGAAGAAAAAGTTGCCATTGTAACGAATGCGGTTAATAAAGTCAATTTTAGTTTAAAACAATGAATATACCACTTAAGAAAAGAGATCTTCCTAAAGAATAGGAATGTCCCTTACCTTAGTTAATAGTAACTAAACCTGAATGTATAGAAAATTAATATTTTCTTAGCTAGAATGAGTAGTACATTTTATAAAAAATCTTCTTTTAAGAATTTATCTATTTTAGAATAGAAAGATTACATAAATAACACTTAATTATCTTTAAATATCCATGGATTTAAAAGAGCTTATAATAGATAAAATACATTATTAAAATTGATTACAGATGGTTAAGAGAGATCTAAAAGAAAAGAAAGTAGTGGATTATTTTCTTCCTCTGATATGTAATCTTAAAATTCTTTAAAATCTTTAAATATTACAACTAGTCCTACTCAATCATTCTTATAGAATCATAAGAATTCAATTTAGCCTAAAACTCCTGTAAGTTTATTTTCACCAAAAAGAAAACAAAATTATACTCATAACAAATTCTTAAATACGAGTAGTAAAATTTACAATCCATATTAAATTAATTCGAATAAATAATTAATAATAAAACCATTACAATTAAAAAGCTCAATTTCAAGTCTTGTAGGATAGATACCAAAACTTTCTAAAAAAAAATAATGATTGTATTAGTATTAAATTCTAATCAGATATGATTATAAATATGAATACATTATGGCATCTATAAATTATTATCTCAAGTCTCTTTGAAAAGAAGAAGTACATAATTTATAAATTATTACAAATAAGAATAACTAAATAGATAAACATGATTTTCATTTTTAAAAAACAATTAGATCTCTATGTTTTTCAACATGTTATAGTAATTCTTCAATATCTTAATTTGTGATGTCCATGTCTAATGCAATATTTTTGAGATAAGTCTTAAATTTATCAAATTATTGGTTTGTAATATTAAGATTTTTGTGGACTTCAACTAAGTCTCTAAAAATTATTAAATAATGAATAATACCTGCCAGTATATTAAGTATTTTTGTCACCCATCATCTATGAGAAGAAACGCTTTTATTGATACCTTACTCTACTCATGTCTGCCTTTAAAAATTTATCACGTAGAAGTTTATCAAAGAGTACCTTGTAATAAAATTGATCTATAAGCTCTGATACTTATTGGTCTCCTCCAAATTTTTCAAAGAGGCATTTCTTTTAATTATCCATTATTAATTTTAATTATCAAATATTAATTTTAATTATCAAATATTCACTAAATATCCAAGACGCTTTAAATCTTCAATTTTCTTTTTTGATTTGATTGTATTTATTAAAGTTTGGTTTAAGTATAAAGATTTAGGTAATGAACATCCTAAAGGGGAATTTCTAACTAAAGATATAAAATAATCTAGAGTTCTTTCAGTTATCATATTTGATGATAAATGTAAACTTTAAAATACTTAATTTGTATTTAATACAAGGCAATCTAATAGTTTACAAGCACCCTCATCTGTTATTTTATTTCTTACTAATTTAAGTTATTTAACTCTTTTAGAAATTCTGAGAATATCTCCTAGATATTGTAATCCTTCGTCTCCCAAATCTAATTTATTATATTTATATATATATATATACCTGCACTTGAAAAATCTGCAATATCTAGATTATCACTTTTAAATGCTTACCAAACACTTTCATATTTTTCATTAATTTTAAACATTCTTTTCTTTTTACAATCTTATATTTTAGTATTAGGACTAACACCTTATCTAATTTAATTAACTTATTCTAAATCTCTTCTTCCAGGACTTGGTTATTAAAAAGATCCTTTTAGTTTTTCTAAAGTTCTAATCTAAATTCTATCTGGTTTTGTAGGAGTAGTTGATTAAATATTTTAAGAAGTTGCTACAGGTTGAATTTCTTTTAATTCTTTTATTCCAGATCCAACTTTATTTTTCACTGCGAAATCCTCTTAATCTAAACTACTTCTATTTGGACTTTTAACTGTTGATATGTTTGTTGTTTCATCCATTAAACTTTCACTCCAATCTGCCATTGATATATCTTTAAGTAACATAGGTTCATCTTAACAAAAACTTGAAAAAACATCCTAACCACATAATTTACTAAAACTTTCATTCCTTTTCATTTCCTATAATAATGTTGAATCTGTTAATGTATTTATAGACTTTAAAATTTAACTACTTTTTGTCATAGTATTTGTATTGTTTACATTACTTAACTATAAAGTTATTGTAAAAAGGTTATCAAAACTTTTATCTATTTCTTACTTTTTTAGATCAACTCTCAATTTCTTTATTTTGATATTCTATAGCTTAAGATCTAATTATTTTTATATTTTTTCTAATTCATCATAAATTCCCTTTCCCTTTTCAAAACAAGCATAATCTTAATTATTCAATAAATCTAATGGTAATTCTCCATTTTCTGTTTTTGTTGAAAAATATACTAATCTATCCTTTGCTGTTATTTTCCATAATTCAGCTTAAGATAAACAACTTTACAATAATTCTTTAATTTATTTTTTTGTTTATTATTCTAAAGATTATGTTAATGTAGTTAATTATTCTATTAATCTCTATTCTTTCAAATCTAATAATTAATGCAATTCTCTAAATTTTTCTTTAACAGTGTTATGACTTTCATTTAGAATACTTTAAAATCTATCTTATAAAGGTTCAAAATATTTTAATTCTGTTAATTCACTTTACTTTTAAAGTATCTTTTAATAAATTTACATAATGTTCTCTGCTTTTTAAGTTATTTCTTTAACAACATCATCTACAGAACGAACTTCATGATGTCTATGTTATCCAAATAATGCACATCTTGTACATATTCTTACTTAATCAGTAAGACATAATATTTCTAATTTTTCTAAATGTTCCTAACATAAATCATTTGGAATATCATTAGAAATTAAGTTATTCAATTAAAGTTGATAACCTATCTCATTATCATCATTTCTTGATGATTATCTACTTTATTAGTATTAAGTTTTATGTTTGACCACCATTTTTAATAATTAACAATTTTTAGGAAATTAAGAGATATCATTTTTATTTTTAGCCATGATACTACATTAGAAAGGAAATTTACCCATCTTCTGGACAAACAATATACTTTTTATTGATTAACATTTATTGAATNTAACATAGGTTCATCTTAACAAAAACTTGAAAAAACATCCTAACCACATAATTTACTAAAACTTTCATTCCTTTTCATTTCCTATAATAATGTTGAATCTGTTAATGTATTTATAGACTTTAAAATTTAACTACTTTTTGTCATAGTATTTGTATTGTTTACATTACTTAACTATAAAGTTATTGTAAAAAGGTTATCAAAACTTTTATCTATTTCTTACTTTTTTAGATCAACTCTCAATTTCTTTATTTTGATATTCTATAGCTTAAGATCTAATTATTTTTATATTTTTTCTAATTCATCATAAATTCCCTTTCCCTTTTCAAAACAAGCATAATCTTAATTATTCAATAAATCTAATGGTAATTCTCCATTTTCTGTTTTTGTTGAAAAATATACTAATCTATCCTTTGCTGTTATTTTCCATAATTCAGCTTAAGATAAACAACTTTACAATAATTCTTTAATTTATTTTTTTGTTTATTATTCTAAAGATTATGTTAATGTAGTTAATTATTCTATTAATCTCTATTCTTTCAAATCTAATAATTAATGCAATTCTCTAAATTTTTCTTTAACAGTGTTATGACTTTCATTTAGAATACTTTAAAATCTATCTTATAAAGGTTCAAAATATTTTAATTCTGTTAATTCACTTTACTTTTAAAGTATCTTTTAATAAATTTACATAATGTTCTCTGCTTTTTAAGTTATTTCTTTAACAACATCATCTACAGAACGAACTTCATGATGTCTATGTTATCCAAATAATGCACATCTTGTACATATTCTTACTTAATCAGTAAGACATAATATTTCTAATTTTTCTAAATGTTCCTAACATAAATCATTTGGAATATCATTAGAAATTAAGTTATTCAATTAAAGTTGATAACCTATCTCATTATCATCATTTCTTGATGATTATCTACTTTATTAGTATTAAGTTTTATGTTTGACCACCATTTTTAATAATTAACAATTTTTAGGAAATTAAGAGATATCATTTTTATTTTTAGCCATGATACTACATTAGAAAGGAAATTTACCCATCTTCTGGACAAACAATATACTTTTTATTGATTAACATTTATTGAATACAATTTTAACATATAGTATGCCCACAATCTGGAAGCATTAATGGAAGATTATCATTTTCATTAAATATCATTTAGCATTCAGGACAGATTAACTCTTCTATTTGTTACATTTTTGAATTCAAAAACAGTTGATATTAAATTTATATTAATTATTTATATATATGTAATTTAATTAAATAGATGACTCTCTTTACAAAAAATATATAAGAGAAGGTTATTCTGATTCTGAAATCTAAAATGCATGGAAAAAATCATAAGGAAATATTTATCATTTAGATCAATGGTTAAAAGAAATGAAAAATGAATCATATATAATAAATTAATCTTCACCATTATGTAATGATTATAACTTTTAAATGACAAATACTGTATCATTAATAATACATTAACAATAAGTTTTACCTATCAATATTAGAGAATATAAAATTCCATGTGGTTTATTGAATTTAGGAAATACTTGTTATTTTAATTCTCTTCTCTAAAGTTATTATGCGATTTATGATTTTGTATCTTAAATTATGAAATGCAAATTTGATCATATCAATATTAACAATATTGTTGATAAGAAAATTCAAAATTCTATTAAACTTTTATAGCATTTACAGAATCTTTTTGTTCTTATGATAGGAAGTGATAGATAATTTATTAATCCAAAAGAAGTTATTCTTTCTATATATGATGATTTTGGTAACTAAATGACTATTGGAGATTAAAAAGATGTTTGTGAATTTAACCATTATTTTCTATCAAGAATTGATGAAGGTCTTACATATTTAACACAATAACTATAAAATAATAATAATTTTTAAAGTCAGTCGTAAGTATTTATACAACATTTATACATCCCATCATTATTTTAATTTCCAATCAATTAATAATATTAGAATTATAGCTTTATTTCAGATAATTCTATTATTAATAATTTATTTTATGGTAAATTATCTCCTTAGATACTTATTTAAGGTATTCCTATTAAAAATTGTTAACAAGAAATATTTAATATAATCTAAATTGATGTAAATCATAGAATTTTAATAGAAGCTTTAGATAAATATATGAATTAAACTATTGAATATAGACATGATAATAATCAATATCAATAAGCTATCAAATAATTTTGGATATAATAAGCTCCATAAATTCTCACTTTTTAAATTTAAAGAGTAGAATTCCATAAAGAATTTGGTAACTATCGTTTTAAGCTTTAGGTACCTTTTCTAAAATCAATTATTCCTTTAATTTTGAAAAAGAATTATTTTTAGATCGTTATTTGTTATCTAATTAAGAAACAGCGAGAAAAATATAAACTTAAAATTAATAAAGGAAAGATGAATTAAATTAAATTAATAAAAAATTAGAGTAATTAAATTAATTTAATGGTAATATTGAAATCATTAAAACGCTTGAACCTAAATTACAATATTTTAATACACAAACTTTTATTGAAAAAAATCATCCTTTTTATGTTAAATTTAATGAAAATTCAGAAGAAGTAGTTAGATTACAAGAAAAAAAAAAATAAATTGATTTAAATATATCAAATAGCTATAATTAATTAAAAAAATAAAAGTATGTTTTATAATCAATTTTAATGCATGATGGTAGTTATTATGCTGGCCATTATTTTGCCTACATTTATAATTTTGATGAATAAAAATGGTATTATTTTAATGATATTATTGTTCATGAAGAAACAGAAGAAAATGTATTAAAATTTGCTTTTGGTGATTAAACTAATTGTAAAAGTGCTTATTTAATATAGTATATTTAAGAAGATACACTTAAATAAGGTTAAAATAATATGAAGATATTTAGTAATGGTTAAAATTAAAATTATTTAAAGGAATAATATGGATTATTACTTTCATAAAAATAAAAAGATTTTTTATAATAGGATAATTAAAAGTTTAAAAAAGAATAGTAATAATAATAATAATAATAATAATTAAATAATCAGATTATAACAGTAATTTAATTATACAATTAATATTTAAATATGGGAAATGAAAAATAAAGATAATATTAAATGAAAACCTATTTGGTAATTCCATAAATGCCACCTTACTTCTCGAATTTTGCCATGTATTTAAAAATTAAATCTAATGAATAAATGTTTAAATGGGTAATATTAGACGAAGCAATAAAAAAAGTTATGTCTTAATTTAATGGATTATTTGAATAACCGAAAATTGATGAAAAAATAAAGAATTAGATTTTAGATGAAATGCTGTATGATAAACCATCAAGTTTTCCTACAAATTAAGAACGCTAAGCTTCAATAGAAGAATACAAAAATGACATTAAACAATAGTCTATAATTGCATATATTTTATAATAATACAATGATAATAAATTGATCAAAACATTATAAGCTTTGCATAAATTTATGAAACTAGCAAAATAACTAAATTAATAATCCTATTTTTATAATATGGCAATAAAATTAAAGTAATATATTTAAATAGGGATTGTATGCAAAATTTGGTAAAATAAAATTATTAATGATGAAGAAAAAATAGTTTTAAAGCTTTTAGTTGCATTCTAAATGCAAGAACATTTTCAATAAAAAGAATCAAAATTATGGAGGAAGCAATTGGAAAATTTAATTAGTTCTGCAATAAATAAATATAGTTAGAATGAAGAGTTAAATTAAGAAGTATTGAAACCACTCATATAAAATATAAAAGATTTTGAAATTTGTTCCAAATTAGATTCATCTCCTTAAGTAAAAATATATACTCTATTAGGATTTTGATTAATATATTGAAGAGTAATAGAAATTATATTTAGAGAAACGATTTGAAAATAATCTTGAAGACTCTCTGCTTGACACTTTAATGTCGAATTTATAAAAATTCTTTGAAATAAGAGTAATTAATTTTAATAATATTTTTAGAGTATTAAATTATTAATTGAAAATATTGATAAATCAACTTCAATTTTAGATAAAAATACGATTTAAAAGATATTTTAAGAATATGCTCAGATAAAATGAAAGATAATATTAAAGATATATATATCAATAACCATAATTTTAAGTAACATTATTGCCTGCAATATATGCACTTACATTTCTTAATCTTTTATATTACATTTATTAATCTGCAGACTTTTTGAATGTTCCATCAACATATGCTCTAAAAGAAATAAAAAATAATATTACTTTTATTTAAGTTTTTCATGATCAATATGATTAGATAATCCAGGAACAACTCCAATACCAGCCAATTAAGGATCATCTTCTGCCTATTATAATATAATATAATAATACTTCAAATATTTTCTTATTCATATTTAATTCAATCATACTCATAGATGCTTCTTATTATTTTCTATTCTTATCTTCTTCAATTTACATAATTAAATCTTATCTATATTATTATTATTAAAGATTCTTTCTTTCACTTTATTCTTTTTCTTACATTTAAAATTTTTAATGAAGTCCAAGTAAAACTTCTTGATCTTTATATTTACTATTTTATTATTCTCTTTAACTTTGTTATTTAGAATGAATCTGATTTAAGATTGTATCAACAGTATCTCTTTATAATTTTTCTTTATTTACTCTTTCCATAATATATTTTTCTTCTTCTTATCTTTGTTTATATTAAGCAGCTTCTTCTATAAATTTTCTTTAAATTTCTTTATCTTTATATTCTTTTTACAAATATAGATCATTATATTTTTAGAGTACATTTTCATTCTGATGATATCCGTATTTAATTTTAGTTAGATGCTAAATAATATTAAAAATGAATTACTAATAATCGTTATTCTTCTTCTTTTTAACTTCTTTATATTTATTCTTGATGTACTTATTATTCTCTTTGTTTAGATAAATATTAATCCATTTTTTTTTATTCTTCTTATTAGGCATATGATTACGCTAAATCTTTTTATATTTGTTCCTTTTTTTATTATTTAAGAAAATGATCCTTTTTTTCAGCTTAATCCATGATTAATCCAATTTAAAATTATTATTATCTATCTTAAAGAAAGTTAATTCGCTAATATTAATTTGAAATAGATAATACTTATTATTCTTTTTTAATTTATTCTTATTCTAAACTATATTTTATAAATTCAGATTATTTTTATTTAAGTTCTTATAATTTAACTTATTCAACATTATCTCTTTCATGTATGAATTTTTGCATTGCTCCAGCAAATTCTGAATCATATTTAGTTTTTTAAATAGTTGATTATTTTTATTCATTTATTAGCCTCTCTAATTCTTCTCTATTTTCATTTATATTTTAATACCTGTATAACCGCTTTCTATTTTCTTATTCTTCTTTTTCTTACTTTTCTTACATTTCTTATTATATACGTTATCTTTCAATCAATCTTGACCATTAACCACTTGGATCTATTATAAATGAAATATAACTATTACCATGTTTACTATAATGAGTCATATTAACAAACAAAAAAATAAAGTAAAAATTAATAAATTTTATTTATTAAATATTAATAACTAGAACACTTAACAAATTCAAATGAAATCAAATTCATAATAAATAAATTAATTAACAATGCGTGGAGTACGTTCTTAGAGTCCATAACCTACATAATAGTAAATTGATAAACTTAAGTTGGCTTAAACAGCAATCAAAAAACGAACATCAAAACCTAATTTCTTCACAACTTACAGAATCCATATAATAATCTCAAGTTGTATAAATTATTATAATAGTAATTATTGGAATAATCATAATTGCTGTATTATCATTTACAAAATAAATAAAAGAGTATATTATAATAAATGAATCAGAAATCAATTCACATAATTCTTAAGGATATCCTTATACTTTAGGATCAAATGATTTCTTTTAAGTATATTAATTGTATTATTATTAGAATGTAACATTAATGCAAGCAAAAACATTATTTAAGAATGATTTCACATAATAAATAAATGTAGAAAAATGTAAAATACCAATAAATTATGAAATTCCTATAAATTTTAATTTTAAGGAATCTAATCCAGAATGTTCACATAATATATATAATCAAGGAAATTGTTCATCATCATATTCTATTGCTGTTTCATCAGCATTTTCAGATAGAATCTGTAAAATGAACTAAACTTAATAATAATTATCAGCTTAAAATTTATTATCTTGTGATGGTAAATTGAATTAAGGATGCAATGGAGGACATATTACAAGATCTGCAGAATATATAATAAAGCATGGATTGACTACTAATGAATGTCATCCTTTTAGAGGAGATGACAATTTCTAAGAATGTACTAAAGCATTAGATAAATGTTAGAGATTCAAAGCTTCTTCATTTTGTTAATTATAAAATAAAGATGTATACACATTAAATATTTTTAGGATATAAAACGAGATATTATTAATAGAGGTCCTGTTGTTGCAATTATGTAAGTTTACAAAGATTTTCTGGTTTATAAAGATGGAGTTTATTAGGTACTTGAAGGAACACCTAGATTTCATGGAGGACATGCTATTAAAATTGTTGGATGGGGTGAATAAAATGGTTATTAATATTGGATTATAGAAAATACTTGGGGTACTTCTTGGGGATCCTAAGGATTAGCTAAACTTGCTATTGATGGATTTATAGATCTATCATTACAAGCTTTATCTATTATATATTGAGTAATAGTATTATTAATTATTTATTCATATTTTCGAAGTTAATTATATCAATTAAATCAAATTTCAAATGATAAGAACTCCATCTCATTCCTTTTACATGAGAAATTCTCAAAATCAATCTCATTCCCCTATACCTTAATAAAAATTTATTACTCCTGAAAAATTGGTTAGAGTTAGCGGAAATTCAGGAGTGAAAATAAATTCAATTTAAAAAAATGGCACAAGAATTAGAAGCGAAGCTGTTGAAACTGTTAATAAGATAAAAGAATAATAAAAAATATAAGAATATGTTTAAGAATTCGAATATAGTATTTTAAAATATAATTTTTTAGAAATTATGGAATAAAAGAATGAAGAATTGTAATAATTGGAAATAAGAATTTTATTATTATTACAAAAAAATCATGATTAAGTCTAAGAAATGGAGGAGTTGAAATAAGAAAATGAATAACTAAAGCAATTATTATATGAATAATAAACAAAAATAGTTGAATAAAATTAAGAGATTTTAGGATTAAAATTATATAAAGATAGTTTAAAAAAAATAAGTTTTAGCGATTACTTTCGATAATAAAATTAATGAATACAATATTTGATTATAATATAAATAAATTAAAATGATTTATTGTATATGAAATGTATTTATATAATATATATAGATATCATAAGAAATACAATAAACTTTCTAAAGCTGAATGGGCATCACTTTTGATAACTTCTCCTACTCTATATGCAACAGTATGAGCATTTTATAAACAAGCAGGTATTTTAACTGGTCCTGACCAATTTCTATAATTAAAACATTAAAAATATGTAAATCTCCAAAAAGTATCTTCATTCCAATTAGTTGTATTTTCTATCACAGTATAATGAGTAGGAGTAGGTGTTCCTTAATTAACTTATTAAGCAATAAGAAAAAAATCAAATTCTTTAGATGTAATTCTCTCAGGAAATATCATTCCATTACTTTCATGATTTGGAGAGAAAAACTTATCACTTATTCTTTTATTGACTAATATGTATGCAAATTATGGTAATTTTATGTTATATGTTTATTAGATTACAGATTTCATAGCTTTTAATTCTATTTCAATTAAATTTTCAATTTATGAATTACCTACTCCATCTCTAAAAATTATAATAGTGTCTGGATAATATTTATTAATCTTTTAATATGATTACAAACTTAAATTTAATAGTTATCCAACTCCTTTATTTAATTCTTATCCTTTATTTACAATAATAGTTTTTGTAAAATGTTTTTCACTCTATTAACCAAATTATGCATTAAATCCAACACAAGATTAATTATTAATTAACGTTTTATGATAAACATCAATTCCTACAATCATAATTCTATCAGAAATTTCAGTTATTTTTTAAATATTCCATAATTACTTTCCAATCTTACTATGAATTTATTTTACTATTGATGAAGCAATCTTTGAGAATTTCTTAGAATTAACTGTTTAAATAGCAACATTTTAATGAAGAATTCCATATCCTGAAATTAAGAATTTCTTTAATTCAAAATAAAGTTTAGAATCTTCATATCTATCTAAAATGGTTACAACTATTTAAGGTTTATTATTATTAAAATGATTAATTAATGTTTATATCCATACAGCAGGATCTAAACTATTCATTTCTATTTTTTTTGGTGCTGCAATTTAATTTCCTAAATCTTTTGATGATTTTGCAAATTCTTAAATAAAAATATTTGCTATTTATTATTCTTCTTTATAATATAATAATATCCAATTATTAATATTAGATTATTCAATTAATTTACCTCNGTATTTATATAATATATATAGATATCATAAGAAATACAATAAACTTTCTAAAGCTGAATGGGCATCACTTTTGATAACTTCTCCTACTCTATATGCAACAGTATGAGCATTTTATAAACAAGCAGGTATTTTAACTGGTCCTGACCAATTTCTATAATTAAAACATTAAAAATATGTAAATCTCCAAAAAGTATCTTCATTCCAATTAGTTGTATTTTCTATCACAGTATAATGAGTAGGAGTAGGTGTTCCTTAATTAACTTATTAAGCAATAAGAAAAAAATCAAATTCTTTAGATGTAATTCTCTCAGGAAATATCATTCCATTACTTTCATGATTTGGAGAGAAAAACTTATCACTTATTCTTTTATTGACTAATATGTATGCAAATTATGGTAATTTTATGTTATATGTTTATTAGATTACAGATTTCATAGCTTTTAATTCTATTTCAATTAAATTTTCAATTTATGAATTACCTACTCCATCTCTAAAAATTATAATAGTGTCTGGATAATATTTATTAATCTTTTAATATGATTACAAACTTAAATTTAATAGTTATCCAACTCCTTTATTTAATTCTTATCCTTTATTTACAATAATAGTTTTTGTAAAATGTTTTTCACTCTATTAACCAAATTATGCATTAAATCCAACACAAGATTAATTATTAATTAACGTTTTATGATAAACATCAATTCCTACAATCATAATTCTATCAGAAATTTCAGTTATTTTTTAAATATTCCATAATTACTTTCCAATCTTACTATGAATTTATTTTACTATTGATGAAGCAATCTTTGAGAATTTCTTAGAATTAACTGTTTAAATAGCAACATTTTAATGAAGAATTCCATATCCTGAAATTAAGAATTTCTTTAATTCAAAATAAAGTTTAGAATCTTCATATCTATCTAAAATGGTTACAACTATTTAAGGTTTATTATTATTAAAATGATTAATTAATGTTTATATCCATACAGCAGGATCTAAACTATTCATTTCTATTTTTTTTGGTGCTGCAATTTAATTTCCTAAATCTTTTGATGATTTTGCAAATTCTTAAATAAAAATATTTGCTATTTATTATTCTTCTTTATAATATAATAATATCCAATTATTAATATTAGATTATTCAATTAATTTACCTCTAAAATTAAAACATGCTCCATCTGTTAATTTAATACTTGCTTCTGGTAATATGGATGGTTTAATTGCTTTATATGCTGGAGTTTCTGAATTATTTGATAAACTTATTGAACGAGTACTAAAATATTTTTCTAGTAAATTTCTTTCAGTTTCTATTTTTGTACTTCTATCTTTTGGTTCTAATGTTGTTTATTATTTTATATGACTCATTAATTTAAAATTATTTTTTTAAGCTGCTGTCAATTCAATCATATACAATAATTCAGGTATTAATCTTATTTATTATTTTGTTCTTTTATCTTCATGTACCAATAATGGTTATGTTAAATCACACAATTTTATTTTATATCTCTAATAATAATATTATTCATATGTCATATTAGTTCCTTCCATTTTACTAGTTGGATTAGATTTATAATCTATTGATTTAATTCTATACATTCTTTTAGAATAAATTGTCATAAATGTTTTATTTTCAAAAAAAGATTGTAAATCAATTTAATTTTATGATTTCTTGTTCTCCTTTATAAAATTGAGTACTGTTTATTTATTTAATATCTTTGTTTTAAAATCAATTAATAATAATGGTGAATTTTAACCTATTTGCAGAACACTTGTAAATCCTTATAAAATTTAAACATCACCAAGCTTCTCAATCTTATCCTTATCAAAGAATTAACCCTTCTTAAAAATCTGTTTTAGATTTCTTTCTTGATATATTTAACTTAAAATTGCATTCATAGCCTACTTTAAACTCTCTCGAGGTATTAGATCGATATTTTATGTAAGATTATATGTTTTTGTATGTTTTATAACAAAGTTAACATCTTACAACTATTTACATCCTTAAACTTCAAAAGGCTTTTCTACATACTCTAAACTCCATAAATTGTATCCACTAATCCAAAATTTATTAATCCCATTTTTTTTTATTAATTAAGAACAACTAGAAACATGCATTATTAATTCATTTTATTATTCTTTAGGTATTTCTTTCTAAAATATTATGCTATAGAGATAAAGCTGTAAATTTTTTAAGAATTTTATCTCATAGTGATTAGAATTGAACTTCATTAATTAGAAATACTTTTATAAATTCTAACTTCTCAAAGGCTTTTAGGGAGGTTTGTATGTTGTTAAATCCTAATCTAAAATTTACATTTGTAATAATAATTATTATTTTTAGTTTTAATTAGGATTAGATTGATTTATTTTTTATATATTTTTAGAGAATTAATTAATTTCAATTATTTTTCTTTATATAAGTTTTTAGATTTATATATTTTAAGAATTAACAAAGACTAAGAGGAATTTTAACATATAGAATGATTGATTATCAATATTGTTATGATAATTATCTGTGGGATTGATTTAATTTTTATTTAAAAATAAATATAAATAATAATGTAATAATTAGATTAAGATTTTCAGATTGGTGAAGTGGTTCAAATAAAAAATAAAAAAACTGGATGCTATTTAGCTGCTACAGGATTCAATACTGTAGAAAAAGGAATGTTATTTGGTAGTACAATTAACTATAATGATTATTATGTGGTTGGGAGTGATGATCCAAATAGTCATTATACACTTTGGACAATTAAAAAAGCTTTTAATGATTCATTTAGAATTAACTATGGAGACCTAGTTTTTTTTAGGAACTTAAGTACTAAAATGTTTTTGGTTTATAATTTTGAGAAATATTCAGAAGTTTCGAATTAAGTTAGAGTTTCCTTAAATGAGACAAAATAAGATTTTTTTCCTTTTATTTTATAATAACAAGACGAATCAATATTCTAAAATAAGAAATATTAAGTTAAGAGTGGTGTGCAATTAAAAATATAAACTACTAAATTAACACATTTTCTATAAGGCTCAAATAAGAATTACACTACAAAATAAGTAAAAGATTTTAAGGAAATTTGTTGTGGATAAGAGAGTGATTATAATTATTGGGAGATTCTTAAATTAACACCAGAATAACAATAGTTTTTTGAGATTTAATAAACTTAGTAATTATAAATGAACATACAAGAAATCTTTGATAGTGATAAAATAATAATAAGAAATTATAAAACTGGATATTCTTTACATTCTCATAAAAGAAAATATAAATCTACTGGTAATCAAGAAGTTACTTGTTTTGGTTATGAAAGAGATGGTATACTTATTATATTTAAATAATATAGAAAATGATTGGTGGATGATAAAATAAACATTTTAGATGGCCTAAAAAATAATCTAAGATCAAATGCCCATAAATTTGATACATTAAGAAACCATATCATATTTGACAGTTGATGAGTAAAATTAAGCTAAATCAAAGAATGGCAATCAAGTTAGATGTACAAAGTCATCTATGCAATAATCATTTATTATAATAAGTATATAGAAAAGAATAATTTTTATAGCAATTGATAATTAATAACTAGTTGTAGGAAAACCATTTATGTTGTTTTATTAACCATTGAATAAATATCTTTGTTAAGGACCATAATTAACAGAAATGCAAACAACCTAATATGAAATCATAATGACAGATAAATTATCTACTTTTTGTTTATGGATCATAGAATAAAAAAATAAATGAAACAAAAATATTTATATAAATGTTTTTAAATTAAAAAAATTGCACACAGTGAGATTTGAACTCACGCGAGAATGACTCACCGCATCTTGAGTGCGGCCCCTTAGACCACTCGGGCATGTGTGCTATATCGAAAATATTGTTTAAATTTCAATTATAAACTATTCAAATTTTATATCATAATTATAATATTACAATCATTTTAATTACAATAGTTTATTGATTTTACTTATAATTTTTAAATAGAGAATTTAAATTTATCTTATATTTATAATTAATTAATCTTTCTCAACATTTTTAATCATGTTTTTTATTTTCTCAATATTATAAAATAATTAAAATTTTTCACTTTTTACTACTTTCAATAAATATTTTTAGAATTTTTTTTAAAAGTTTTTTAATAGATTATTTGTTTATAGAACAACTTTTAAGACAACACCATATTTTATATAATTATTCTTTTCTTAATATTTCCCATTTAAAAAATAATTAAAAATTAATTTTAGATCTAATCTATTCATGGATGACAGTGAAAACTATATTCATTCTCTTTTTAATACTCATTGAATCGATTTAGTTCAAAAATTCCTAAAAAAAATTAGTTGCAAAAACTAAATCATGATTATATTAATTTTATTATTAAGTAAAATAATAATAATAACCAATATGTTATACGAAATTATTAATACTATAAATTTGAAGTTATAATTATATTATTTACTGTTCTATTTTTATAAATAATTCTAAAATTTAAATTCCTTTTTTTAAATTTTTCTAGTTTTATTTTAATATGAAAAATATTATTTATTTTTAGTAAAATACAACAGTAATAAAAAATCTATAGACTAAGTTTAAGAATATTCAAAATACTAAAATGAATCTTATAATTTTAAATAAATTCTTTCACCTTATAATATAAAACAATTTTGTGTAAAAAATTTATTTGCTTTTATTTTCTTATATGGCTTCTTTAATATAAATGAACAAAGTTGGCTATTATAAAATAAGCTAGAATCAATAATGGTTAGAAATAATGAGGATAGAATAGAAAAATAAAATTAATTTTAAATATTTTGATTTTATAATATTCTTAAAAATAATAGATAATATTCTTTGTTTATTGGATATCTTAATTATTTTAAATATCTATTTTAGATTATAAAATAAGAAGATAGATTTGCTGAAAAAAGAGAATAAAAAAAATTATGGTATATAGATTGCTTTAATTTGCAAAGAAAATAAAATAAACTAATTCAAAGTATGAATTTAATTGCTTCTTAAGGAAATTCTGTTATAATTCCTGAGAGCAATCTACTACTCTTTTGATAAATTTTACTAATATCTTATTCATCAAAGAGTTTTTTAATATCATCATTATCATCTTAAAAAGTCCATCCATAAATAATCAAACCATTTTTTTTCGCTTCATTATAATATTCATGTGTTTAATTATTTTACCAAACCAATCTTAAATCTAAACCAACTATTTTTGCATACTGAACAATTTCAGTTATCGTTGGAATATTTTAATCTTCAAACCAAACTAATTATGCTAAAGGTAGATCAGATTGTTGACTGAAATATTGTAGAGTTTATTTATCAAATGCCATAATAACAATAGGTAATTTTAAAGAACATTCATGTTATGTACTTAAACCTTATTCTTTTAAAAAATTATGAATAACTTCAGCAATATTTATATTACAATATTTTTAATGATATTCGTAATCTTTGATTTCTAATAGTATTCCTTTTTTATCATCTGTGTTAGAATTATAACTTAAGAAAAAGTCAATAATTTCTTTTAATGAAGGTATTTAAAGTTATCCATCAAATTCACTTTTACGATTATTAATACATTAACTTAAATGTAATTCTTTTAACTCTTAAAATGTGAAGTCAGAAATCCACCAATCTTATTTTTCTTTTTCATAAAGTATTTTAGATGTCTTTCTACCTTCAAATTTATTATGATTTTTCACATCACTTACAAGACTTAAGAAAGCATCATGACAAACCATTGGAAGTCCTTCTTTGTTTAAGACAACATCCAATTCAATAAAATCAGAAAATTAAAGAGCAGATTTAAATCCTTCTAAAGTATTTTCTACGTTTAAGTTAAAATATACCTGGATAAAGACTTGATAAACCTCTATGTGCAGCTATAAGAGGCTTAACTTTTTAGTAATAAGACAATAACATGAATTTGAATGTTGTTTTTTAAATTAATAATATCTTATAGTGCAGTATGATTTGATTATATATAATATATTATATATAATTTATTCAATTATTTTGTAAATAATACGTTATAGCAATTCAATATTTCTTATCTTTTATAACGGTAGTAGTTTTAGACTTGATTAAATATTTATTGCATTTATGATCTACAAAATCAAACAATTTATCATCAACTCCCATTCCAATTTTTCTTGCCTCATTATTATATTTTACAACATTTTTATTTAATTTATGCCTAATTAATTAATAATATTTTTTATACATATCATCAACATATTCTACCATACATTATTCTGTTTAAGCAATCATCCTTCTTAATTCAGCTAAATCATCATAAGGTCTTTCTTCTTAAGCAATTAAATCTTTAAGCATATTATTACAATCTGTTTCTTATTTTTAATATTCTTGTGTATGACTCTATTTTTTATATTATTTTTATGGTATAGAATTAACTGCTGTAATTAAAAAAGTATCTTTCTTTTTTTAAGCATCCAATTTCTTTCTTCCCTCTTCAAAAAATGATGGATTTATTTCTTTTTTTTATTAAATTCTTTATTTTGCTTATTCTAATAAATCAACTTTTGGTTATAATGTTTAAATTTATTCTTATTTTGGTTAATCAACAAAGAGATTATCCAACTTGGAAAATAAATTCTAGTTTCAAATAATCAAATAACCTCTTCTAACTCACTTATTTTACTTTTTCTTTTTAAAACAGGTTAAGATTAAGCAGGAAATGATCTTTACATAAAATATAATTATTTTATTAATACATATTCAATTCTCACTTAATTTTATTTTTTTATCTGCTTTATCAAATTTTTATAAATTACTACTTGAGGAAGATAAAATAGAAGATGATCTAGAGGTTGTTTCACATTTTATTAAATTAGAATGATTATTTTAAATTTATGCTTCATCATCACTAATTACTATAAATGTCTTATTAATAAAGTTGTCTAATGCTTATTAAGTAATTTTAATTTTTTTATTCTTTAATTATGGAGTATTCTTTTCAATTATCTCAAATGAGGAATCCTAATTATTAATAGGTCTCTTTTGCATCATTTATTTCTTTGATAGTTTTCTAAATTTAGGTTTATTCTCCGTTAAGAGTTAATCTGTAATCACTGCTAAAACACCATCAATAGACATTACCCGATTTCTTTTCATATTTATCATATTTTAATTTATTTTAATTGAATATAAGACTAAATAGAATTTAAAAAATTATTAGATATCTTAATGATATATAATTCATCTATAAATACTAGCTAACGTTTTGAAACTATCTTTTAGTTGATTTGACTTATATGTTGATTAAACTTATCTTAATTTTTTCAATTGAATTGGATATAGTTTAAAAGATCGAGGTGATAATTATGTTGGTTCAGTTTTTACTCTTTGAGATGGAAATGCCGAATATCTTTAATTATATTAAAATATCTTTGTTTATGATTACTCTAAAAGTAATTTAGTAGTTCTCGAGACAGATTTATATTTGTTGATGGGCGACTTATTTTGACTTATATATGATATTTTCATATTTTCTTATTATATTTGAGATTTTAATTTATTTTAGTACTTATTCCTTCTTGGTGTACTGTTTGAGTTTTTGATTTATTATAAAAACTTATTAAATTTGTCAAAAAATGGATCATTTTAATGTCTGATTTATTTTTCACTCATTTTACCACATTATGAACAATAACAACTATGTCTTCTTTTTCTTTATGTACTTTTTTAATTAGATGTCTATTTTAATTATTTAATTGTCTCATGAAACTCTTAATTAGATGTCTTAAGCATTTTAAGTGTTTATATTATTGTTTTACTTTTATTCATATCTTAAATTCCTCTTCTTAATTTTAAAATAGCCATATCCTCCATAAGTTGTGTTTATCTTCTCCTTTTTTCCTTGATTTCTATTTCATGAATTGATTGTTTAGTTTTATAATCAGGCAAAATGTTTTTGAATCTAATCTAAAATTTACTCATCCATCCAAACTCATTACCATAACTACTGATACTTCTGGTTTACCCATGAAAACAATCCAAAATATACTTATTTTCGACATTTATAAAGCTTTAACATAAATTATTTTTTTTTTCTACTATTTCTCTTTTTATTGTTACATTTCTTCTATTTCTTTGCCTTTTCATTAAGATGCTTATTTCAATAATAAATATTAATATTTAATAAATAAAAAGTCTTTCATTCATTAACGATTACTAAATTTTGGATTTTATTTTTACACCTCATAAATATTTCGTATTTCTATTGTCTTCATCTATGAACTTTTTACCATAGGAAGATTTATCTTCTTATTCTTATCACTTTTCCATCCAAACTCACAATTTTTTTAACTCGTCTTTAAATTTTATTTTACTTATTCTAATTTCAGAATATCTATATTTTATTTTATTCTAACTATTTATTTCTTTGGTCTCACTAAACATCTCTTTATCTTCTTATCAACAACAAAATTAACCATATTACAAATACTCTTATTATTTTACCAACTCTCTGTATCTTCATTATTATCATTATATTAAATTTATCTTATTGGACTTATTCCTCTCAACATTTATTCTAAATTCTATTTTCTAATACGCTTTTTGCTTTTTATTCTTTTTCTCTCAATTTTTATTAATTTGCAAAATTCTTAAAATTTACTATCCTTACCACATTATTAACATTCACAACTATTCCATCTCTTTTTTTTTGTTTAGGAATATTAAATTGTTGAAATCTAATCCTTAATTATAACCTCATTTTTAATATTATCAAAACTTATATTTCTTTTTGAATAAAAATTAAGGTTATTATTTGATATAGTTCTGATATCAGAAAATTGTTGTATAT